AATGCTTGCCTGAGTTAGAAACAGAATCTAAAAATCTACATCTAGATGTAAATAAGAGCAATGATACAGGACCTTGGACTGACAAAATAAATCTTACTCTGGACCTGACTTGGTACTAGGGAATGACTTCAGTTCTAGATCTAGTAGAAAATAGCTTGGTAGTGATTCACAAGCACAAAGTAGCCTAGATCTAGATCTAAACTAGATTTTTAGATTTGTTCAAAAAACAAAATAAAATCTAATCTAGATCTAGATTGTTATCTTTGTCATGATGAAATGAGGTACAAGAAGTAAACAAAAAAAGTAGGCGTGGCAATGTTTACTTCTGGAAAGTGATAGATCTAAACTTGCTCCATCAAGAACAAAATTCTCTCCTCAGTCGGGATAGTCAGTCCCGAGATGCAGTGACAACTCCCTATTATCGCCAAGATGTAAATATTTCTCACCTGAATAAAAAAATTCCTCCTCAGAATCAGTTTCTTCAACATCGGAGTCGAGCGTCTCGAAGAACTCAATCACTTCAGTAGCCTTTTTTCGCTAGGGTTGAGACATGATTTGATGTCGATCAAAAAACAAACTTCAAAATCTCCCTCGTTCATTGAGAGTCACTCTTCTTTAGGTCACCGGAAGAAGGAATGGATTGAGTACCTGGATATTACAATAAACATGGATAATATATGGGATTGGACGATTTTGCTGATTTTTATTCTCATAACTCGTGATTGGTCCTCAGGCGACGGGAAGCCATCACGAGATAAATCGTGATTGGTCACCAGTGAGTTAAGACAGAAAACCAAAAGGTGAAGAAACCTCTTTAAAAGTTGGCCTGAATGAAAGGGGGAGCCCTGCGTGCCCTTTGATCTTTGTCTTTGTAGTCAGGATCACGTGGGTCCCAGAGCAGAGGCCTTGCTCAGACTAACTTGATTAAATCTTTCTTTGTAGCAAGTGGCTATTCTATGGTGTCGCGCCGGTCAATAGATCGGAAGCTATTCCCCGGCGTCATGCCGCCGGTCTATTACTAATGAATTACAATGTATTTGGCGGCGCAGATTTTGAGATACAATAACTAGGCCTAGTAAGTCTACCTTTCATTATATTTTATCTATGATAATTGTCTAGCGTAACTTTATTAATTTATTTAGGTCGTCCATTTGCTTATATTTTAAAATAATGATTCTGTTTCTTTAAACGAACAAAATTGATTTTTTGTCTAAAATCCTGTCTGGTCATATAGTATAGCTTGATGTTTAACTAATTTCTTGTTGTTGTAATTTTCGATATTTTGCGATTTCAGTGCTTTCTTGTCGTATGTCCTTTTTTTGGAAACGGTGAAAAGTGACTTCTTCTTTTAACCAGTGGTGAACACGTTTCTTCTAGCACCTATCATAATTCTAAATTGGAGGAATTGAGGCAGTTTGTGTCTGAAAACCTATCTGTATCAATGGAAGTGGCACAAAGTGGTGAAGTTATGGGAATTTTTTTCCAAGACAAACAGATGAGAGAGGTATTTGCAAATCTGAGTCGACAAATAATTTATTAGTAATAGACCGACAATGTGATGACAGAGAATAGCTTCCGATCTATTGACCGGCGCGACGCTGGAGAATAGCCACATACTTCTTTGTAATCGTCCATCCTGACGAGAAAATAAAAACGAAGTCACTATTTCTCAGAATGTTCGGGAAAATAAAGTTGAACTCTATTTCTCCTAACGGTTTCCGATATCGATGTTTTTTGGTTATTTGTGAGATTTAGGCGTCATCCTTTCATTCTGCCATTCTGCGAGGACTGGGAAGAAGCATTTTTTGCATCGAATTCAATTTCTAGAGCTGGAGATTTTTAAATGTCTGAATATTCAGAAACTTCAGTTGTGGTTGGGGCAATGTTCCCGGACTATACTTCATTTGAAAATACCTTCAAAAGGTACTGCGAGAAAACAAGTCTGCTCGACCTTGGCATTAACCTATTTTGCATTTAGTCACCCAGCAAAAAGTAAAATCCTTCAGGTAAAAAAAAAAAATCCCCCTGAGTTCCGCAATAAACCCGCATTTTTTTGCAATTTTCGCAATTTCTTGCAATTTTAGGCAAAAATACATCAACGCTTTAATTTTAACAGAATTTTAGATACGAAATGGTGCGAGCACAGAGCCGATAGGCCTACGTAAATCATGGTATCGGCCCAGCTCAAGCCTACTGAGCGTACTCGAAAAGCTTTAACCGGAAATTCAGGCCGGAATGCATCATGTACAACACGAACTGAGACATAGGCTAGGCCGAGAAGGTAGCCTTCTCTGGGCTAGGCCTTTATCTAATGTGTGTAAGCGTGCGCGTGTGATAAGAAAGTAGGTGTGTGCGTATGTGACTGTGAGGTCTACGTGAGTGTGTGTGCGTGTGAGTGCGCGCGCGTGAATATTGTTCGTACATGATGCATATGTCTACATACATGGAAACCTGGCACCTAGTAGTGTCAGTATCTACGTACACGGTAACCCACCGGAATGAAAATTAACCGATTATTATTTGTCCTGTGCTGTCACTTGTTGAAATTTAAAAAAGAAAGTTATACACGCGTCTTGTTGGGCTCGCCATCGTTACCGGTCAGTGAACCAGTGCTCTCGCATCACATTGTGAGTACCGGTTGGGGTCACCAAAGTTCATTCAAAGTCTGTGCGCTATGAAGTATAGGGCTCCGGAATGGGAGAATTATTGATTAAAAAAAAAAAAGTACAGTCAGGGGAGGGCTGGAGTTGAAGGCAACACCGGATGACAAAAACTGAACTTGGAATTCTTAACTGCCCGGTTACCGTGTACGTGACAATGAGACTACGTGCCCGGTTGCTGGTTACCGTGTACGTAGACACTGAGGCTAGGTGTCCGCGTACCGTGCAAGTAAACACCCCATTATGTAAAACGTCTTAAGCTGTGTTCACACGGGAGTGGGTACTATAGAAATGATCTAGATCTACATAAGTACATGTATTTCTATTGTTTATAAATGGGGAAAAAAATTTGCTGTATTTTATGATTTGACGTAGTGTTAAAACAATACCATGCCGGTTTTAAAACAGAAAATATCTGAAATAGATCTAAATACAGCTTACCGGTGTATCGAAGGTTTCAAGAGAAAAATAGAACAGGATCTGATTTGATTGGAGCATAAGCTTATTTTGTATTTAGAGGTTGTTTCGAAAATCTCTCGTCAATTTTTTTGTTTTTTTATAGACTAAACCTCCTACACTTCTAGATTTGTGCATGAACCAAGTACCCGATATGTACTACATTTGGTCAAATTTTATGCCTTCATTTAAAAGTTATTTCGAAAACCGAGGGTTCCGTTATTTTGTGTCACGCGTTATCATATTATATTTGGTCGATAACTTTATTGTTAACGTACTCGTGTGTTGTAACTAGCAAATGTTGTTAATAACATTTGATTAATTTGTATTGTTTGTCATGATTTTTTAAAAGGCTGAGCTGCTTTTATGCTACTGGTACTCAAAATTGTCATGTTTTTAAACTAAAAATGTTAAGCCCGTATTAATGCGCCTGGGATGGGAAAGTTGCACTTTTTTGCAATTTTTAGGCGGTTTACCTTGCAATTTTTTGCAATTTTTCTATTTCAAAAATGCAATTTTCCGCGGGGCCAGACTATTCAAGAGACAGGGTGAGTACTTTTTGAGACTCATGTGAAGACGTCTAGACAGTTGTGGGATGAAATTTACAAGCAAACAGTGAAATGTTGGGGCAGGATGGTGGAGTTGTCTCAAAAAGCAATTTTCAGGCTAGATTACTGTCAGTGATTTATTTTAGTGATCCTGTGTATGCAGCCAAACAGCAGAGGGCCCAAATAGAGAAACTTTTTTCGACTTGATCGAGATTTTAAAATAAGATTTCTTTGTTAATTGCTGGCCTGCAGAAGTACCACGTTGTGGGCATAGGTAAACAGTAAACTAATATGAGTATACTTTTTTAAAATGTGGACTGGCGAAAGTGAACAAGCTGTAGTCTCAATTATCGTTCAATAACTCAACAGTAGCTGGCTACTCACCCATATGAAATGGTGCAATGTCATTTTTAAATTTAGCAGACACTGGTGATGTCATTCTTGACACTACTAACCTTCCCTGCTACAGTGGAATCCTGTTATAAGGAGAGGGAGGGGACTGGTGCGAAATGTCCCTTTTAGCAGGATTCTCGTTATAAGAGATCCATTAATGAATTCAATGGAAATAATAAAGTAGGCCTAGTCTATGAGTTTGGTGTTCTGTTTATTTCTTTTTGTTATCTCCCTTGATGATGATTTTGTTTCAACTTGACCTCTTGGTCATACTTGATCAAAAATCAAATTCTGGTTTCTTTCTCTAGCGCTAGCAATGTTGACAGCTCGACGTTAGCGATTAGAAAGAAAGGGCTGTAGGCTAAGTCGCCCGCTGTGTTGTCCCCTCCACACCACACCACACCCTGTTTTGCGTTCCGTCTGCTTGCGCATGTCACACATTCGCTCTATCCATCGAATCACTGTGACCTCTCCATCCCTGCATCGGAGAAGTGAGAGGCATGGTAGGCCTAGATAATCTAGACTAGGCTGGCCTATCTCGCGATGCGTTCTGCTTGTCTGCGCATGCCACACCCTCCCCACTCATTCGCTCCGGCCTTCTTTGTTGACACATGTGGGCACTCCCATTCTTTGTTTTGCTAGTTCACCAACAAGTTTCTCAAGTTACAAGGTTTTACATATATAATTGGCCTTTGCGCTGCGCACTGCAGCAGCAATATTCTGCTATAAGCGACTTGCGTGTTTGTCTGATTGCGCTATAGCAGTATTTTATTTACAAAGATATAAAGAAGGGGAAATACAGGGTTTTAGAATAGTGTCTTTATAACAGACTTCTCGTTATTTCAGTACTCGTTATAAGTGCACTCCACTGTATTGGGGTTTTTTTTTTCTGTTTTTATAACTTGTTGTTTATTTGATTTTTTTTTTTTTCAATTTTCCTCAGAAATTCAGACATGGTGGGAAATTCCAGCAATCACACATTTCTGCTCACTGTTCAAGGCTGTGTTTGGATTGTGTGACTTCGACATTGAGGTTAGTGAAGACAATATTTTTACTATGACTTGCTTTTAAGTATTTAATGAAAAAGGTATTCATGCTAGACTAGCTTTGTGATTTTAATTAGCAATTTTTCTTTATTAAGGAAATCTTGAAAGCTGTTAATTTTTTTCACTTGGTTCAGTCCAGATTTATAATTCGAGAGTGAAAGAAATTTCTTTCTGCATTATGAACTGTTTATGTTACAACAAAGATTGTGATGTCTTTCATCATAATTTCAGAATCTTTTTAAGCAAGTTTAGATCTTTTCTTCAACTGAGCAAAAAGGTATTTTCTTCAAAATCCTTATCTTTGAAGCTTCAATATGTGTCTAAATACCAAAGGAGCATGCAGCATTGATTATTCCTTCACATGCACTTGATGAGATTGCAGCAAAATCACATTTATTGGGACAGGTTACCTCATGATTTTGGAAGTGTTTTTTTTTCTCAAGATACAACTTTTGTTTATCAGAATTTTATATGACTACCTCTTTGTTGTCAGGATTTAGAGGAAGCTGTTTTGACATCACCATCCCTTGGGGGCAGCACTCTCGTTCTTGACATCATCTGTCAACTGCTGAATGGCTGTTACGCCCGTGATGATATCAAGTGAGTATTTTGTAGGATCAGAGTGGCAGGACGTCCTCTAGTTTATTATGGCTATGGTATGCTTAGCTTGTAATTTATGTTTGATTCGCGGATGTTTGCATTTTTAATTGAAAATTATTTCCAAATTCGTGATTTTAGATGAAATTGTAATTTATTTACAAAAAAGTTATTCTATGAAACTATGAAAGTGGAATCTTGAGAGGCCTAATTCTTTCTTACTTTCTGTTTTTAAGCACAATCTGAATGTAAAACCAGCAATTACTGAAGTTAATAATTGCAACAGTGGGAATATTTTTTTATCTCTGTTGCGGTAGGACTTGCCCAAAGAAAAAGAAAATGGATGAAAACCCTTATTATGGTCATAATTGGGTTTAGAAGTTTTGAGAACAATATGAAGTGGATTGAAAGAGCTAATGTGTGGGGTCCAGCTGTGACAGTGACTAAAATGTGCCTTTCAAAGCATTAGCTTTTTTTCTCAATTACTAGATGCTATAGCAGTTTCTTGTAAATGCAGAATTACTTAATGTATTAATTATGTATTTGTTTAGCAACTTTTGTGAAAGTTTCTCCCATTCTTATTTCTGCATAGGTACTTCAACTATGACCTGTTCCTGAAAGACATCTTCAAGCAAAGGTGGCAGTTTGAGTTGGGCCGCTCAAATCCAGTTGCAGACAAGGCATTCTTGGAGTTGTCTGTCAGAGAAAGAGTAGAAGTCCTTCATGCTCTTTGTGACTTCAGATTGGATGCAGATGACGTTGCAGAAGTGCTTAAGGTACATTAATTGGCTGAGCTTTTGCGGTGGTAGACTGTAGTTGCTGTGAAGGACTGCATTTTATGTTCTTAGACTTAGATAATTTCAAATACTGCTGATTTGGTCAACTTGGACCAGGAAATACCAGTTGAAGGGAAGATGCAGCATTAATTTGTGATTCCAGAAAAGACAAAAAAGGATTCCTAGAACCATAAGCAAAAAGCTTCAGCTATAGAAAATGATCCTTTGATATGGAAAACGTTTGGGAAGAAATGGTAATCAAATTCTGTTCAGTGCTATCAAGTTTTTATTGAAATTATCTGTATCACCTGTATTACCTGTCCTGGGCAACAATGTCTTTGCACACTGGACAGGTCCATAAGTGCTCAGTTCTCCCCAGCACCAAAGCCCACAAGGTATCCATACTGATTGTTCCGGTGGCTGTCTATTGCGTCTTTCCTTTCCAGATAATCGTTCCTTTCTTCCTTTTCCCCTTTCTATCCCCATTTCACGCTTCCTAATGATTGCGTGGTGTTCTGCTGTCCCCCCTGTTTTCCTCATCCCGCAACTTTTCCTCCAGGGTCTTCAACACTTCTCCTTTGTCAAATTTCACCTCACCATCAACCACGGCACTGCTTGCCAGCCTATCAAACTCCTCATTGCCCTTCATTCCAGAGTGCCCAGGACAGAATATCCATATAATGACTCTAAGTGATGAGTGTTGTATTGGGTTCGTCTGAGGTCCGAAGACAGTAGTGTAATTAGCAAATAATTTGTCCTTTCGAACTTTTATTGAAATTATCATGATAGTTCATAGAAGTGCTTTTATTTTTTGTCATGGAGACATTTCTAGGAACAGTAGCATGTAATAAATGATGCATATCAAGACATGTTGATTCCTAAGTAACAACATTAAACAACTGAGACGTCTTTTCCTTGTTCAGGGACTCAGTGGAGAAAGCCTGCGAGTGGAACCTCTTGGGACGGATGCCAAAGGCTCCAAATACTGGTATTTTCATGGCACCCGACTGTACAGGGAGGCACAGCAGGAGGATGAAGTGAAACCAGAGTGAGTTAATGTGGTGGTTATGTAAATGAGTGGTATGTAATACAAGGATTGTTTGGATTGTAAGGTGAAAATGCCAGATTTAAACAATTTTATTTTGATGGAAATTAAAACTTTCACATGAGATGCTTGCATTGTAGAGCTACTTTTCTATGTAGTCTCCTTCAAAATTGATGCACTTTCAGAGAGATACGAAAGAACGTAAAGCCCCTCTTGAAGAATTCCTTGTCAGGATTTTGCAACTAAGTTTTCACATCGTGGATTGTCTTTGTCTCAGTCAAAATGTTTGCCAATATTTTGCAAAAATGCTAGCTAGGTAATCATATTTTGAATTGCAGTTCGTGGGGGCTTAAATTAAAGGCAATGTTATGCACTTTGATACGCCTATTGTCAAGGATAAACGCATCAATCTGCTTCGTGTTGTTTTGTAATATTGAAGTTTGTAGCTGTCCTAGCGCGGTTTGTTTGAATGCCCTTCTCTGAACAATTTACACCAATGGGATACCTGTTTTTATATTTGTCACATCATTGCCACATATGGGCACTAAATCAGAGTGAATTTCAGAAAGCAAACAACAACTTGGAACTTGAATCTTTGACAATTTTTTGCCTGTAACTACTATGTTTGTTGTGTTGTTACAATAAGATGCATTTGTTTATGGTGCCACAAATAAATTACATTAAAAAAAAATTGATACCAGATCATGGGTAAAAGTTTGCCGGCTGTGGCCAATAATTCCAGCATGCAATGGCAAACATACATAATTCAGTGCTTCCACTCTTCCGTATTTTTACGGAAATCAGTACTTTCTTCCTGTTCCGTACTTGTTCCTCCATCATTATCAACTCCCTCTGTAAAAAGCTGCGACAGCGTAGGACTACCAGGGCTTGAATTAGGTGTTCAGGAGGGCAGTCAAAAATTGAATCGGTGGGGCCTAAAAATCAGAGGGCACCGAGGCAATTTTCTAGGGCACCAAGGCAAAAATTATAGGTGATCATTTTGTTGATTAAAGTTGGTAATACTGGATCGTGCATCACAACGTTTATATAAATAACAATACAATTTATTCTTGCTCTCAACAAAAGTATAGAGTTATCGGAAAATTGGTAAAATCATGAATGAAAACTAAGTAAATCACTAGATGATCAGAATTTTGAAAATATGTTGGCACACACAATATAGAAAAAGACTGGCTTACTGTTTGTCCCTTTTGGGAAAACACAAGTGATTTTAAAAAGTATCACCAGAGAAGATGATTTCAGGGAATAGTGCTGTATTATCAGGACGTCTATTTGTGAGACACATCTCTTGCCACTTGGCAATGCAGGGTTCTGGGTTGAATTCTTTGATCTCAGGACCATTGGGACATATAAGCATGATCTTTTCAGGCATATGTCTGGAAAGCAAATGCCTTCAGTCACCAAGGATGTGCCTCTTCAAAGAAAACAGGGATTATATGAGCCAAATGAGACAGATTTGGGAAATTTCCTTGCTTTTTTCAAGACTGAACTTGTCTTGTTCTCACTCAGAAGTAATTTTAAGCCCTGACTTTCGGAGAGAAACATGAGCCACTCTTTCTTTATTTTCAGTGTTTAGCATCCTCAGTGTTGAAGCACAGTCTCATAATGAGCTATCAAGTCATCCATCTGTGTCTCACCATATTCTTTCAACTCACCCATTTAAATTTTGTCAGTTTCAGGCACATTTGTCCTGTCAAATATCCCTGCACTCTTCAAAACTATATCTTCTGATGTGCCAGAAAATCTTTCTTCCAAGCACAGCTCCAGCTTATCCAATACATCTTTCATGTTTGTAATCATCACACTTGCACTTTCTCTCACATCTGCAGTCTTCTTTTTCATCCAGATCTTTTTTCAGATACTGCTGAGGTTTGGTTAATGTGAGTGTGTTTGCACTTGCCATGACAAAATGGACACAATGGTCAAGCTGAGCAGTGTCTGACTGAAGCTTTGATGAGATTTCAGACAAGTCTAACGGGATATCTTCATACCCCCCCCCCCTCTCTCTCTCTCTCTCTCTTCCTCGAGTATATCTTAAAAATTATAAATAATCAATAATGCCCCCCCCCCCTCCCCCCCCCATTCCGGAGTCCCATACTTCGCGGCGTTCAGACTTTGAATGAACTTTGATGACCCCAACAACCGGTGCTCACACGATGCGGTATCTTGTGACTAAGGTTCACTGACCTGCCACGGCGGCGAACCCGACAAGACGCTTGTTTTAACTTTCTTTTCTTTCTTTTTTTTCCAAAAGTGACAGCACAGGACAAATATTGATTTATTTTCATGATGGTACATTAAAAAACAACAAAAAACAAGGGCACGGCAAAAATTGCCGCGGTTAACCCTTTGATTTTCAGGGCATTACAGCAAATTGCAATGGCACCAAGGCAAATTGCAGCGGTGCCGCGGTCTATTTCAAGCCCTGGACTACCGAAATTCCGTAGCAAAAGATCCGTACTCGCCTTCATATCGTCTAGCACTAGTATAAGTTACAGATATTTACGGTAATTCTCTTGGCAATAAGTAAATGTAATAGAAACCTGCCAGATTGCGTATTTCCTGCAATCGGCCATTATTCCACTATGCCCCATGCATTCATTGCGGGTTGGTCAGCAGTACATTTTCACCTGTACATTGATCAAAATCTGGCGAACTTTTTCTGCCAATTTCCACCTTTCTATCATTCACTCATTCCGTCTGTCTATCTTCGGATTGTTGCCGTGGCTGGAAAATCTGCGCATTAATCAAGCAAATTGACTTGTGATCTTAGACAGAAAATTACTGTCAGAAAGAAACTTTTTAAAACAAATTTGTGTAGATCTAGAGAAATGATCAATATGAAGATTAGACACGAGAACACGATAAGGGCAGCGATGAAAGAAATTTATGCTAAAACCAGCCTAAAACGACTAAAATCAAGTATAATTCAAAGTGGTGTTCCAAGGTTGTGACATGTGACATTCAGACATGAAATTTAAGGAAAATTAGGGTATATGCCGGGTAACTATATTGTGAAGGTACATATTTATTCATTATTCTCAGGTTTGCCTTCTATCAATGGTGCGATGACAAATTAATTTAATTACAGTAGCAATGGAAGGGGGACCTGCTTTTAAACATTGCCATCAATGGAAATATATTCTGTAGATATTGATGAAGAATTCAAACAAGACGAAATGTTGGTGAAAAAATAAATGTTTTGGTTTGTTGGCAATCTAGCTCTTCAAACATGCTCTCAAATGCCATTTTCAACCCTCTAAAAGCACTGAACCCCCACCAGGACGCTCTCCCTGGGCCCTGCTGGGAACCCTGGAAGAATTTTCCGTACTTCTCAGCTTCAGCTTGTGGAAGCACTGATAATTATAAACACACGCGCACGCACGCACGCACGCACGCACGCACACACACACACACACACACACACACACACACACACACACACACAAGGTGGTGTGTGTAAAGTTCCTTTAAGATTTTTAAAATATTGATCAATCTCAAGGTTTGTACCTTTTCACCTTGCTTTCCAAACACTCTTCCTTGTTTCAATTTGATATATTCTTTGCTCTGTTTTGAGGCAGTCAGCTTTGCTGTTGTCAACAATTATGTGTGTGTGAGTTAAACATTAAAATTAATAAAATAATTGTCTGTCCTGTTTAATCGACATCCAATAAATTTTTAAATTTAAAAATAAGAAATTCAAGACAAGTTGTTTTAGTGGACATAAGTTCCTACGATGATTGTCAAGTGAGAAATTTACAGTAGTATTGATTTTCCTCTTTGCTTTTTGCTTATTCGCTTTGTGATGAGTATATATATATATATATATATATATATATATTGTGTATATATATATATTGTGTGTATATATATTGTGTGTATGTATATATATATATATGTGTGTGTGTATATATATATATATATATACAAATATGGTGGCCGGGGAAGAAGACAATGAAGGCATGGGTTTGAGAGTTTGATCTTTTTCAGGAAAAAGAGAGGAAGGCCTCCAAAAAAAGGACAAGAAGAGGAAAAAGACAAAGACCTGGAGAATGGAGAAGAGAAGACTGGCACTGTGCGGAGGAACCCCAGTCTCAGCGCTAAACCCCAAATGGTTGATGAAGGGGATGCAGAGGAAGAGGATGGAGATCTGATAGAGGATGTTGCCAACCAGCCGGAAGCGAATGATGATGTCACTGCTGATATGGAAAAGGAGGAGGGGGAGGAGGAAGAGGACGATGCAGATGAAGAATTGCAGTGAGTTTATTACCTTTAATTTTGTATCTAGTTTTGTATTGTTGGGAGGGGGGGGGGAAGACATGCACGCTCACACACACACACACACAACACAACACATAAAGTCCTTACCTGATCTTTTCTTTGTGTCATCAATACAAAACTGATCGAAGGAAATTCAAAACTATACCTATCAAATTATAGTAGTTCAAAAGATGGCAATGACAAAACCTTGACACTCTTGTTTTTGGAAAGTTTCATTAACTGTCTTTCTCAGAGAACTGAGCCTTGTTCTAACTAACTACTCAGGTGTGTTTTACTGAGATAACTCCCAAGATCATGTATAGCAAGATAGTTCACTCCTCCCTTTGAGCTAATTAAAAAAGTGTCCTCATAATTTGGTGGGGCCCTCTTTGAAAGAGCTCCCGACTTTGTGAACAGAGTTACCCTACTTGTGTGGGGAAAAAAAAGTGAAACTAACAAACTGTGCTATTCCTATTCTTCTTAGTTTTAGTAAGGTTTTTATGGCGCTTGCAACTGCATAAAGTCATATGAACGTGCAGGGGTGGATGTCAACAGAGAAGTCCAAATGAGGAGTCAGGCTTTCTCTGCTCACCTTTCTAGCCTCAACAGCACAAAGTCTGCTTCGACTATCAAGGCACCCTGGATTGATAAGTCAGTGCATTTACAATGCTACTGTACATACGAACATGTTAATATCCCCCCTTTGGGAATGTCCTAAAGACACTTCAGTCAGTGGCATTGCCAGGGGAGGGGGGTCCTATTCTTCTGGAGAAACGAAAGAGAGCTTCAAAACGAAGATTGCAGCGCCATCTGAAGCATTGCGCGGACTTCCGCGGACACTATTTTGACTGAGTGAACAATCTTGTTTATGTACGATCTTTGGATAACTTTATGCATGTTAGGACAGTAGTTTGTTATGTTTTTTGTTTAGAAAAAAAAAATTCCTTTTGGTAATACATTATTATCATCTTTAAAGTGATTTTGCCTCCGGAATGCTTTTCAAAATATTCACTGAAGACATTTCCAGTAACAAAAACTTACATCTATTTTTGCTTACTTGTATGCCTGTATTTTCCAGACATTGGCACTAGAAGAGTTTGGAAACCGGAATGCAGGACAAAGCAATACTCTGATACCAAATATGGATTGCTTCATCTATATTTGAAATGAGCTGTTGTCTTTTTCTTCTGCACCCCCCGTGGCATGCACCCCCGGGGGCAGTGCCACTGACTGTAGTGTGTTTAGGCCATTCCTAAAGGGGGGACATTTCTCGTTCAAGCACAGTAGAATTGTAAATTGGCTGATTCATCATGTCACGCTCATAACTGTGCCTGATCTGCAACAGGGAACTGCTGCTTTTTCTTTCCTTATCCTTACTATTGTAATTTTCCTCCACTTCTTTTGAATGTTTGTCACACTCTTGTGAACTGCTATTTCCGGGATGCCTTGATATTCGAAGCAGACTTTGTGCTGTTGAAGCTGGAGAGGTGAGCAGAGTAAGTCTTATTCCCTGTAAGGACTTCTCTGTTGACACCCACCCCTTGGCGCTCATATGACCTTATGCAGGTGCGAGCGCCGCAAAACCCTCTAATATAAAAAAAACCTTTTCTTCTGCAGAGCCATAATGTATGATGGCAGTGATGATGAGATGGATGATGATGCTGATGATGCAGATTTTGAATGTGAACTCAAGGGGAGAAAGAAGACATCATCAAAGAAAAGGAAAGCGTCTTCCAAAAAACCTGCTGCAAAGGAAACTCCAGAGGTCGAAGCTGATACCACAATGAGGTAAAGGGACAATTTATTCTGATTATGTACAGATGTGTTTTTGTCGAGTCATTGATAGATCTACAAAAAGCCAGAGCAAACGCTTAAAAAGAACAAGCTTCCTCCATACGGCCAGACACTCCAGCTCTGGACTCGAAGTCTCTCTTGAAGAATCTCCAACCCCATTAGACCCGTGTCAAGTCCACCCCCTTCAGACTAATCACCCCCCTCAAATTCGAGAGAACCTAGAAAAGCTTGGCACCAAATCTGAAGTCCCTCCTCCAATACTCAAGTCACTGACACTCGACTACCTGGACAGAAACTTCCCGAGCAACTGGTGGAATCGAGTTTACACAGATGGATCAGCAACTGATGCAGTCAGAAACGGCGGTGGAGGTATCTACATAGAGTGGATAGATGGGTCAACAGAAAGCCATTCCATCCCCAGAGGATCTCTATCTTCCAATTACAAAGCAGAAACATCAGCACTCAAAACAGCAGCCACCATTCTCTTGAATCACCAAAAATCTAAAGCCAACACCGTCTTCCTCACAGATGCCAAATGTGTCCTGCAAGCTCTCCAAAAGCCACAAACAGCTCAAGTACGACAACTCCTTTCACTCCTATGTGATCTAAACTCCCAAGCCAACACAACTCTGCAGTGGATACCAGGTCACTGTGGCATTCATGGAAATGAAAAAGCAGACGACTTGGCCGAAGAAGGAACCAAAATGACCCAGATTGAAGATGGCAAGGATCTCTCAGAGTCAAAAACACTAATAAAATCTGCCTTAAGAAACAGATGGAAAAGATCCCTCCCTAGACTCAACAGACATGACCCCTATTACATACTAAATAGAGCAGACCAGGTCACAATCTTTAGACTCCGTTGTGGCCACAACAGACTCAAACACCATATGCACACCAAATTAAAAGTGGGAGAGTCAGCGATCTGTGAATGTGGACACGACCGAGAGGATGCCAACCATATCCTTCAACACTGCCCGCGCTACGTCACCCCCCGTACACAGACATAGCAGAATGTGGCTCCCTTTGAGAGAAAGCTGTATGGCAGTCTCTCAGAGTTGAAGCGAACTGCGCAGTTTGTGTGCGACATCGGACTGACTGTCTAGCTGCTGTCATCGAGAACGAGGAAGAAGGAAGAAGAAAAAGAAAGTCGAGTCATTTCAAGAAATGTTTATGTCACTATAAATCATGGCTTTGTAGATTGTGACTTTTTATGTAGTTTTGTAGGAAAAGCCTTCCTTTACTTTCTAGGTGACAGAATTTGATTTTCTTTGTTTTCCAGGTGTAGTAAGATGTTATATCAACACTTCTGGTCAGTGGCATTTAGTGCCTTCACTGCTACTTTAGCTTTGTATTTGAAGAGGGGGGAGAGGAAAGGAATATGGATATAATTGTTACAGGTGGGGGTGGATAATAACTATACATCAATTTTTTGGTAGTTTTCAGCCCTTTGGGTTTTGATTGTGCACAATCTAGCTTGCACATTACAACATTGAGAGGAAGCAAAAATCTTTTCATTTTGCATGAATTTCGCTATGTTTTTTAAATACAAAGAATATATATACATACAAAAGAATGTGTGACCTGAAAATCTGTTTGCTGTGTAAGTGCTAGACTGTATTTTTTCCTTTTTTTGTGTGTGTCTTGTGCCCTTGGCTGACGTAGTGAACCAGTTGAGTTGCTGACTGAAGACAAGAGTACAAAGAAAAGGAGGACAAACTACTATCGTGGTGGACGACGTTCAAGATCTCACAGCCGAGGGAGAGGGGCCAAGTCTCGCAGTGTTTCCAAAGATACCCCAACACCAGAACAAGCAGAGCAGAAACAGTGAGTGACAACAAGAAAAAAAAAGTTTCCTTTGTTATATGGCCTTGTGTCAGGGTACTGTGTACACATAGTTGCCAAGTTTTTATTCCTGGGGGAGAGCAAATCTGCGCTTATCACTACATGGCATTGGACAGTACAATGCTTCCACTCTTCCGTATTTTTACGGAAATCCGTACTTTCTGCCATTTCTGTACTTGTTCCTCCATCATTATCAACTCCCTCCGTAAAAAGCTGCGACAGCGTAGGACTACCAAAATTCCGTAGCAAAAGATTCGTACTCACCTTCGTATCATCTAGTTTTAGTACTGTATAAGTTACGGATATTTATGGTAATTTTCTCGGCAATAAGTTAATGGTATAGAAACCTGCCAGATTGCGCATTTCCTGCAATCGGCTATTACATTGTATTCCGCTAGGCCCCATGCATTCATTGCGGGTTGGTCAGCAGTACATTTTTACCTGTGGATTGACCAAAATCTGGCGAACTTTTTGTGCCAATTTCCTCCTTTCTATCATTCACTCATTTCGTCTGTCTATCTTCGGATTGTTGCCGCCCCTGGAAAATCTGCTCGTTGATCAAGTAAATTTACTTGTGAGCTGAGACAGAAAATTACTGTCAGTAAGAAACTTTTTTACAAATTTGTCTAGATCTAGAGAAATGATCAATACGAAGATTCTACGGCACGGGAACGCGATAAGGGCAGCGATGAAAGAAATTTATGCTAAAACCAGCCTAAAACGACTAAAATCAAGAATAATTCGAAGTGGTGTTCCGAGGTTGTGACATGCGACATTCAGACGTGAAATTTAAGGAAAATTAGCAGGTTTGCCTTCTATCAATGGTGCGATGACAAATTAATTGAATTATAGTAGCAATGGAAGGGGAACTTGCTTTTAAACATTGCTATCAATGGAAATATATTATGTAGATCATGGTGAAGAAATCAAACAAGACAAAATGTTGGTGAAAAAATAAATGTTATGGTTTGTAGGCAATCATTTCAAACAGGCTCCCAAATACCATTTTCCTGCCCTCTAAAAGCACTCAATTTCAATTTCTTCGGGAGCTTCCACCAGGACGCTGTCCCTGGGCCCTGCTCGGACCCCCGGCAGAATTTTCCTTACTTTTCAGCTTCGGCTGGTGGAAGCAGTGACAGAAGGATGAGAGCCCAGCTGTTGCTGGATCGATAGCAACAACATTCCTGGAGGAGACTGAAATATTCTATTCATTTATGTTGTTAGAGTATGAAGTATTATTTATGTTCTGTTCTTTTATATATGTGAGGCAGCGAGGTGAAATCAGCTTTTGTCAAAATACAGAAATCGGAGAAACAGGCATTTTTCCGAAAGTTTGGAAATTTTAATAGAATTTATTATTTTTTGGCTGAACCTCATTTATGTCCATGTAAAATCACATTTCCATGTGAATTTTACTGAAAAACATTGGTTAAAGGCACAAAACATGTCATTTTTCTGTTTTCAAGGACTCTTTAGCTTTTGGAGTTGCCAAACTTTGGCAGCCATTTTCTCGCTAATCTCACCACTGAAACCAGGCGACCTCACTTCCTTCTGTCGCAAATATCTATTCAAGATAAATAGGTAAAGTCGAACCTGCCCTGACAGCCGCCTCTATAAGACGGCCACCTGTACAAACGGCCACTTTCCATTTCCCCCTTTCGTTTTTTCTATATAATTTAACTGTGTAAAACGGGCATCTGTCCAATGCGGCTGCGGCCACTATATTTCAACTCACAACCCCTATCACACAAAGCAATAACACCTGTCTTAGATGGCCACCTTAATGACTCCATTACGCTTTGTCATAAATCAAGCATTGGCCCCTGGCGTTGTGGGCGAGCCGTCATAATCTAAAAACGTGTCGTTGTTAGGTAGTCCCTCCAACTGATCATGTTGTGTAGGCCCCTCTCGCTGTTGACCAATAGATAACAAAATTAATTTTCAGCTGCTGGGGAGGGAAGCATGTGATCCCTCGACTCGTAACCCATAAGCCGCGCCCAGAACCCATACACAAATCGTAAGTGAGATGAGTGGTCACTGTTTACCCAGTCTGTAACAAAGTAACAATGAACGTCAGCATGAACTTGTGACAGAAGCGTTGCTTGTTCTCCGAGTGGTAGCGACACGTGTTTGTTTTACCATAGCATTTGGTCCCCCTTGTCTGACACATTTCGTTTTATTGTCACCCGTGCACAAATGCAACAACAAAAATAACAACAACTACGCAACTATCTTCGGTTGGGACCTCAGAAAGGAAGGGTTTATTTTCTCAGAAAGGAATGGTTTGTTTTCTTCATCGTGATCAGTCCTGCCTAAGACGGCCACCTGTCTTATACGGCCACTTTTCTCCTTGACAATGGGTGGCCGTCTTACACAGGTTCGACTGTATTTATTTAATTGAAAGCAAGGCAAATAAATCAGCTTTCAGATGACATGCACAAAAATTGACGAGCGCCTGATTCCTCCGCTTTGTGATACATATGGTGGCAGCTCATATGACATCAGCTGTACAATAACAATGAGGGGCAACTTTTATAAGTGTCAGGATAGCTCTACATAAAGGTTTGAGACACATTTGCCATTGTTATTTTTCCTTCCAGGGATCCAGTAAAGAAGAGAACTCCGAGGAGCAAACAAGTGTCAGACGGGACTCCTGCCCCAACTAGGCGCTCTCGGAGAGGACAAGGTGTGGAGGAAGCTGGAGCTGACATCATATTTGATTCGACAGTGGCAAAGAAAGAACTGAAGAGACTGGCAATTGATGGCTTTCAGGCTCAGCTGAGCTCTCGGCACAGTCGAACAACCACCCCAGATTCCAGTAATGAATTGTCCAGCACTACCAAGCAAAGTTCTTCAGCAGTAGTTAAGTGTACATCTGATAATAGCACTAATGATGAAGTTTCAGATGAGTGCATACCCAAAGAAGTTGACAAGAAGATGGAGCTGGTCAATGGTGAGGTCAATGATGGTGCTGGGGAAAATGACCACTCAACAGACCTGACTGTGAGTGCAGAGGAAAAGGTCAGTGTTGCCCCTGCTCTCCCAGAAGATGAAGTTGACAGTGGCAAGGTCCCTGAGCCTGTCACCGTGGGTAAGCGGGGAAGCTCACGGAGAAAATCAACCCCACAGCGACGTAAAAATAAAGACAGCCGTCAAGTAAATACTGAAGCGAATGTGCTGAACGCTGACAATCCAGATGGTGAACTGGCATGTGACAGTAAGGAGGAAATAAAAGAATTAGACCAGGCTGAATCAGAGCAGAGGGTTTGCAGGGAAGGAGAGGGAAATGTAAATGTTGTCAACAATGTGAAAGAAGTTGCAGCTGCAGTGAAAAAAACATCTGAGGGACCAGTGAGACAGATGGTTTCAGAGAGTGTAGAGTCTGTGGTAGAAAAAATCAAAGAGTCTAGAAACAAAACGAAGGAGAAATCAGTCAATGTCGAGGCGTTAAAGGAAAAACTTATTGCATCAGAGATTGTAGATGACTCTAAATCTGATGTTGTAGTGGCCACATCAGTTCTGGAGGGGGAAGTGAAGGAGCATGGTGTGACGTCGATGGATGGAGATGAAGCAAAGAAGTGTGAAGTGACAGTCAAAACCAACAATGAGTCAAGCGAGAGTGGTGGTAATCAGTGTGATGGGGAAGGGAAGGCTTCAGAAGTTGCTGATGAGAAATGTATGTCTCAGAGGCAAGAAGAAACGTCAACAGATGTCATAGAACTTGTCAAAGACTCAGAATCATGCAAGAAAGAGCTAGGGAAAGACAATGTAAAGGATACTGCAGATAATGACAATGGCTCTGAAGAGAGAGACCTGTCTGGTCAAATTCACACCGATTCAGGTAAAGAGGTTTCCGCACGACAGATTTGTACAACCAGGGATATGGTGCAGAGTTCTGTGAAGAAAGATGCCCCAAACCACTTAGATTCGCCTCTGGGGGTCAGTGAAGAGAAGAAGAGTAACAAGGATGAGGAGAGTCAGGACATGTCGCTTTCAGGATTGGACGAGGTTCATGAAGAAGTGAAAGTTAGTGATGATGTCCTAGACGAAAGTGAAGACTATGATGAAGATGAAGATAGCTCTCACATAATTGACTTGGAAGAAGTGGACATGAACGAGTCAGAAGATAAGGATAAAAGTGGGCTGATGGATGACGGTCAGGAAGAAATGAGGGAGATGGATGTGGTAGAAGGTGCAGGCGCTGCTCAGGAGATAGATTTGAGTGTTGGAGAATGGAGGGTTCCACCTCAGGTTACTGGCTTAGGTAGTGAGACAGCACAGGAAGTTATGGGCCAAGGCGGAGCTGACCCTATGGAAGTGGACACACCTGTTCCTGGTGTAGATACTGAGGTGACACAGGGAGTTGTGGGTCAAGACGACAGTGCAGGTCCCGACTCTGAGATCAGGCCACAAGCTGACCACATGGAGCTGGACACGCCTTCTGCTGTGGACTCGGGCATTGACCTCACAGTTGCTGATGCCTCAACCACTTTTAGTTCACTGGCAGGGGACAACTCTTTTTCTGAATATTTTCAGGACTCTGCTCTTGATCTGCGAGTCAGTAGTTCTTCACAAAAACCCAATGATGAAGTGGATCGACCCGAGAAGGTAGTTGTACCGTCTCATGAGGATACAAAGGTTGATCAAGAGGAGTCCAGGACTGGAACAGACTTATCTGTGAAGACTTCTCAAAAAGCTAAGAGTAGAGAGCCTTCAGAGAAGACAGATGAAAGCGAATCTTCTGAATCTACAGATAAAGCGGACAGAGCAGAATCTTCAGATAAAGCAGACAGAGCAGAATCTTCAGATAAAGCGGACAGAGCAGAATCTTCAGATAAAGCGGACAGAGCAGAATCTTCAGATAAAGCGGACAGAGCAGAATCTTCAGATAAAGCAGACTCTTCAGATAAAGCAGACAGTGCAGAATCTTCAGAAATGGGAGACAGAAGAGAATCTTCAGAAAAGGGAGACAGAAGAGAATCTTCAGAAAAGGGAGACAGAAGAGAATCTTCAGAAAAGGGAGACAGAAGAGAATCTTCTGATAAAGCAGATAGAGCAGAATCTTCAGAAAAGGGAGACAGAGGAGAATCTGAGTCTTCAGAAAAAACAGACACAGCAGAATCTTCAGAAAAGGTAGAGGGAGGAGAGTCTTCTGAGAAGGTGGACTTAAGAGAGTCCTCAGAAAAGGTTGATGAAGAAGTGTCATCTGAAAGCAAAGAGGTGGCCTGTGATGGAGATGATGAGGTGGATGGCGTTGTTGGAGCGAGTGACAATCAAAAGCAGCCAGAGAAAGAGAAAGAAGTAGTGCATTGTGCTCAGAGCAGCTCTTCAGGGGAAGGATCAAGCCTTGCTGAAAAAATAGTTGAAAAAGTCCCTGAAGATGGAATTCCATCCGCAAAATCAGAGCTCAACCATTCGGTAAATGTTGTGGAGAGTGCTGAGAGTGAATGTGAGAAAGTGGCTGAAAAAATGGAGGTAGATTGCATAGAAGAGAAGGAAGAGACGTCTGGAGAGAAAAATAGCCGAAGGCATTCTGAGCCTGATGCTTCTGCTGAGTCAGGTCCTGTGCCTGAAGTAAAAAAATCATTGCCTGTGTCTCCCAAGTCCAAAGAGATGGCAGGTGAGGAGAAGGAAGAAGCTGTGGTGTCGGAAGAGGGCTCGGGTGTTGAAGCCACTGCCTTGGAACTAAAGGCTGAGATGGAGGTGAAGACCGACAGTGTCCCTGCCACTGCTTCCAACGAGGGGCTCGAGGTCACTTGTGATAACTGTCCTGATGAGGAACCTGCAGATGGTCCGTCTGTTTCTGAGGAGGATGTAACTGTGGATGATTGTGTCATGGATGTCACAGGGACTGCTACTGTTAATACTGATCACACTGCTGTGGTTGTTGACACATCTGATTCTGGTGTAAGCGCAGACGTTGCCAGTGCGGTTTCTGCTGATGTCACAAGCAGTGTTTTAACCACCTCTTCTGGCACATCTGTCTCTCTGGAGAAGGAGGGTTGCCCCGTGACAGCTGTGGTTGTGAAAAGTTCAGAAAACGCTAAAGCTACTCATGATTTTGATGTTGAGGACAAAGACTCAGAGATGAAAAATATAGCTGTGACGCACCATTCATCAGATGGAGATAAAAGTTCTCCACAGCTACATGTTGTACCAGGCACTGAAAATTCAGAGGAAAACGAGGCGGCAGAGAAAATGCTCTCGCAATCAAATAGAGTTATAGAGGATTCTGGATTGGTTGTTACAGCGCTACAGCAGAGCAGAGACAAAAGTGAGGTTTCTGAGACTGCAGACTCCAGTGCTGAAAGTCAGGGGAAGTTTTTAAGTTCAGAAGTGAATGTTGTATGTGCAGAAGAAAGAAGGTTAGCGAAGCGTGATGCAGAAAATGAGGCTAGTGTAGGAGATAGTTCAGTTGGAAGGCATTATGACACTACAGGCAGTGAGAGAACTGGTGTTGTTGCCACAGGGGGGGAAGCTGCTGAGCAAGTTGAGGTGACAGACACAGGTGCCCGTCTCCCTGGAGAGACTGGTGATGGAAATCTATCGGAACAAGGAAATGCTGCCTCGACGACCAAAGGGGAAACAGTGTCAAGTATTTCAGAATCAGAAATGCCTGCCCTTGAGAAGTCCCCCACGATAAACCAAGAAGAGAGAGATGAAAGACCGGTCTCTGAACATGGTGAAGGTGAAAGTGTCACAGATATGACAAAGTTGGCTCCAAAACTTGATGGTAGTAAACAAGCTGAGACGCTGACGGTGGCCCGGGAGGAAGGGAACCTTTCAGGGACCGCTAGTGAGGGAGGTGCAGAGAATGAGGCTCTGAACGAGGGGACTGTCTGTGGTGAGAGTGCTGTCAAAGACATGATAACACCTTCAAAGGAAGGTGATGGGAGTGAGGAAAGGGGATCAAAGGATGAAGTCGTAGCTATAAAGAAAACTGGATCACTTGAGGGGGTCATTGAGGGGGATGGGAGAAGAAAAGTACTTGAGGAAGGCTTGGTAAATTCAGGAACAGAGCGGAACACGGGAGAAAATGAGATGGGGGCGATGGAAATCTCTGAAGAGGCCCAGATACAAGAGACCCAGTCAAACCTTGCAATAGATAATGGAGACAAGGCAGCTGAAGCAGTTGAAGAAAATAAAGCAAGTGGGGAAACTGTATCAGCACAGGTGGCAAGTGGTGATGATGTGGAGGCAGTGGTGACTGGTGTGGTTAGTGCATCTGCTTCTCGTAGGGAGAAAGAGGCGCTTTTACAACAGGAGAGAGACATTACAGCAAAAGAGACTGAGCCTGAGAAAGCTCAGGAGGAGGAGGATATGGAAGTCGGGGAAATCTCCAGTGAGACTCCAGAAGGAGCTGAAAATCTGATGCAAGGTGGGGCCAAGTCTGAAGGGTCTGTGACAGTGTTGGAGCCTACAGAGGAAGTGAAAGAAGTGGATAGAGAAGGGGGAAGTGAAGTGGCTGTGGAGACAGAGGCCGATGAGACAACTACGATTGAAACAGATGATAAGAGAGTAAGTGGAACAGAAGAGACTGCGGTGGTAGAGACAGAAACAGGAAAGGAGGCTGATGGGGTGTCTAAGGTAGTCAAGGATGCAGTGGTTGAAATGGAGGAGGCTGAAAATGCAGTAGTGGTTCTGACAAAAGCCGAGTCTGAAGCTCGGAAGAAGAATGTAGTTGACGTAGAGACAGAGAATGGAAGTGAAACAGGGATAAAGAAGAAAACTGAGACACAGATAGAGAAGAAAACTGAGACAGAGATAGAGAACAAAAATGAAATTGAAGCAGAGAAGGAAATATTGGTTGAAGAAGAGACAGGAAAGGAAACAGCAGTTGAAGAACAGACGGAGAAGGAAACACAGGTTGAAGAAAAGATAGAGAAAGAAATGTCAGTTGAAGAAGAGCCAAATAAGGAAAATGAAATGGAGGCAGAGAAGGAACCACCGGTTGAAAACAAAGCAGGGAATGAAGTACCTGTTGAAGAAGAGACAGAGAAGGAAACGACTGTTGAAGAAGTGACAGAGAAAGAAACGCCGGTTGAAGACGAGTCAAAGAAGAAAAATGAAATGGAGGCGGAGAAGGAAGCAATGGTTAAAGAGGAAACAGAGAAGGAAACAGTAGTTGAAGAAGAGACAGATAAAGAAACCACAGTTGAAGAAGAGACGGAAAAGGGAGTGACGGAGGAAGGGGCTTTGGTTGAAGCAGAGGTTGAGAATGAGATGGCAATTGATACAGAAAAACAGGCTGTTGATGAAGTACCGGAAATAATGTCAAAAGAGACGGAAACTGAGCAGGAGATGGCAAGAGAGGCAAAGTCAAGGGGAGGAACATCAAAAGAGACAGAAGCAGAGAAAGAGATGGTGGAAGAGATAGAAGCAATAAAAGAGATAGTGGAAGAGACAGAAGCTGAGAAAGAGATGGTGAAAGAGATAGAAGCAATAAAAGAGATAGTGAAAGAGACACAAGCGGAGAAAGAGATGGTGAAAACAACAGAAGCAGAGGAAGAGATGGTTATGGAGACAGATAGTGAGATGGGTCAGCAAAGACCTTATGATAATGAGGCAGAGGATGTGATGGCTGGTGACATGGAGACGGCTGTCGATACAGAGACAGTGAGTGAGACACAGGCAGAAACAGAAGCACTTGTCTGTGATGAAGAGTCAGTTCTTGAGAAAAAGGCATCTGTTGAAGAAATAGAGATGGCAAAAGAAGCAAAAGAGACAGAACCAGAAGAAGGGAGGGCGAAAGAGGCAGACGTAGAAGATGAGAGGGCGAAAGAGACAGAAGTAGAAGAAGAGAGGGCGAAAGAGACAGAAGTAGAAGAAGAGAGGGCGAAAGAGACAGAAGTAGAAGAAGAGAGGGCGAAAGAGACAGAAGTAGAAGAAGAGAGGGCGAAAGAGACAGAAGTAGAAGAAGAGAGGGCGAAAGAGACAGAAGTAGAAGAAGAGAGGGCGAAAGAGACAGAAGTAGAAGAAGAGAGGGCGAAAGAGACAGAAGTAGAAGAAGAGAGGGCGAAAGAGACAGAAGTAGAAGAAGAGAGGGCGAAAAAGACAGAAAGGCAGGAGGCAGAGGCAGAGTCTCAAATGGACGTGTCTGTGGAGGCAAGTACAGAGACAAAGATGGAGGAGGAGTCTAGTGTTGGGATTGAGCCCTCGGAGAATGTGACTTCTGCTGAGGCAGATTTAGAGAAAGATGAGACCAAGGAGGATGAATTGGAACCCTCAGTTCAGACGCAATGTGTTGATGAAGAGGCTGGCATTTCGGAAGATAAAGGACTAAAGCAGGACTCAGAAACTATTTCTTTAGATGATCATGCTGCAGATAGTTTGTCTGGCCAAGGGATGTGCGACCAAGCTGAAAGTGAATTGACCCCAGAGCAAGATGATATGTCGGAAAAAGCGGAAGGACAGAAAGAAGGTGATAATGATGTGGCTACTGTCACAACTTGTCATGCTGAAGGAGAGAAGGAAGAGATTGAGCTGGGAGATGAGAGGAGGCAAGATTCCGAAGAAGTGGCCAGTCTCAGTCAGAGAGAAGACCTGGTTCTTCCCCCGAAAGAGGAAGATCTCAGTAACAACTTAGTTGCACAAGAGATCAGCCGTTGCATCTTGGATAATGAAGAGAATGCTTCTGTGATACACTCTCAGGAGGCAAGTCAAGAAGTGATGGAGGTGAAAGAAGAGATTTGTGTGCCTGAAGAGTCGGGGAGACTTCAGGCAGGGGCAGAAGAGATACAAGACATGGTGGTCGAAGACTATGTTCCAGCGACTTCAGGAAATGAGAAAAGTGTGGAGGCTCCTGCTGAGAAGGTTGACACAAGTACCGAAGCGATGGCACAAAGCACAGAAGTAAAAGAGGAAGACATGAAGGAAGAAATTCCCGCAGAAGAGAAGCCTGAGGAAGAACTAGCTGCCGCGGAGGACAAGGAATGGGCTGATGAGGCTAAGTCAAAACAGAGCAAAGCTTTCCAGGAAGTGTTGCTTTACTCAGATGCTCAGGCATTCCGCGGGGGATTGAGCCATTGGCAGCTTGTATGTGACACCATAGAGGACTGGGCCCAGCTCACTGACCAGCTCAAGGACTCCAAAGTTAACAAGGAAAAGCAGCTCTACCGAATCATCAAGAACGACTTCCTGCCAGAGATCCCGACCATCATGGCTGACAAGGTGAGTTGCTTATTGACTGTGTAAGATTAAGTTTGTCGTAGCACCCATTCAGCACAATGTAAGATGTTTGAGACAGGCTCAGTGGAAGATGTTCATGTAGGTTCGTTGTATGCTGTGTATGACCGGTTTAATGGAAGATGTTTATAATGGGCTCAACATAGTATGGTCTTGGTGGGAGCATTGTGATGTCTAAGAGTTTAAAACGGGGCCTTTAAAAGTAAAGTATGAACATCAGGAGGCAGGTGGTTGTGTATTATGTGTATAGTGGGTTGATTGTGCGGGAGGGGGGGGGTTCTTACTTCTGAACTGCTTACTGGTCTATCTCTTCACGTTACTGTTACAAATGATTTGTGCAAAAATTACATGGTATGCTGTCTGTTCCAATTGACTGGCGCTGTGAGTGATGTATTCTACGCTCTTTTTGTGCATTATAAGGGGGCAAGTCCAATGACATTTTTCGTCAGTTGCAGGCCAGGCTCATATATGCAAATTAGCTCCCTTTTGTCATTCACTGACTTCTTTGCCTAAGACTACGCAATTTTCCTGCTTGTGTGTTTTTTGTCTGCCGTACAGGTACTAAGAAAGCCTCAATTCGACTCATTTTGGAAGAAAATTTGCATCTATAAGTATATTTTGCTTCCTCATTGCACTTTACATTATCAATACAGTTGTATTTTATTATAATATGTTGTACAGTAAAAGATTTGTGCTGAAAAATGGAATTAAAGCACTTGACCTAGATTGTTTCGCTCTCTCTCTAGATAAAAATAAGCTTTCGCGCAATACCTAGGTCACCCGGCTTGTATGAGCTAAAATGTATGCCAGGGTGTTTAGACCTATTCTTATACGTCTCTATAGATCTACACATCAGAAACAATGCCGAAAATGTAAATCAATAAATCGCCTATGCCTGTGCTATCTGTTGTTCTCGTAACCCTAACACACTGGGCTAAAAATAGGTTAAGCCTAGCTGGTCTGACGTGGTGGACATGAATCGTCTTGAGTCGGTTCTAAACCTTGCATAAACGTTGTACTTTAGTCTGGCCTGGTAGTGATCTTATTTTGGTGGACGTGTAGACTAACTATGTAATCAGCTTTTTGGCTTATTGGACAACATAAGCGTAGAGGTACTCTCATGGATCACAGCTTGATGTTAACCTGTACTTCAAATCTTCCAGGAGCAAGCTAGAGAAAAGAGAGCAAGAGAAATGATGCCGAGAAGATCGTCATATCGTCTTGAGCTGAAGAAAATGGAGGAAGAAGAACAGGTAATATAAGATGTTTTATTTAAAGACGTAATTAAGGTTAAACCTGTTAATTTATTGGGGTTATCTTGTTTATTTATTTGAGATGTAGTCATATTCATTCTAAAGCATTAACAAAAAGCGACTTGCTTTCTGCTTTGGGACTGGGAATAAAAGTTTAAACTGCAATCTATATCTAATATCTGTGGACAGTATTTAAATTGTTCACATAAACTGTTGTCTTGAGGATCAGTTAGATACAGTCAGCCTTCTTTCTTTACTGGGATCCATGCCTAGACAAATGAGATAGTGAAAGATGCTGGGGTTATCATCGTTACAGAAATCTCTTTAAAAAATTAAAACATAATTGTAAACTGTGATCTGATGAATAGGCTAACTTTATATTTTCCAATGTTTACAATTTTAAAGTATTGATACAAAGTATCTCACTACGGTATTTGTCTTCTTGTTATCCAAGGAACGTCTGAACAGAGAGGCAGAGGAAGAAGAAGAGAAGAAGCGTCTTCAAGCTGAGGAGGAAAAAAGGCAACAGATGAAAATTCAGGAGGAAAAACGTCTGCAGGAAGAAAAAGAGAGGGCAAGAGAAGGTGTGTGTGGGTGCAGTGGTCGTTTTGTGGGTCTGTATTTTGGGATTGCAAATTAGCCCTTGGGTTTGCTGTCTCTGATTTGTATCCATAGCATGTTTAGACATGAATCACTCACAGACAAGTGGTTGATGATCTCTCTGGTTGGCTCTACCTTCACATCTTTTTCTCAAAGATAAGATGCTGCCTTCAAAGAATTTCATACATTTATTGCTTTTTATTTTTCTGTCAAATTGATATTAACCTTGTCGCTTATAGTGCGGTCAAAAATTAGTGGCACAACTTATCCTCAAATATCTCTTTAACCCTCTTAGTGCTAAGCCATTTTTACCATTACTTCTCTTCAGTGGTGGGTTTATTTTAGAAAAATGCCAATTTTCAACATGGTTATAATAAAAGCTCATATCTTTCTTATTTATCATAATTTCTAATTACAGTAAGAAGGAAAAATGTGTCTTAAATAATGAACTACCCTTGTGTCTGGTCAGATGTGGTTTTTTTATGTTGTTGTTGGTATCAAAATCCTCATCATTTTTAGTCCAGCCTGCTTGGAGATCAGCAGGAATATCGACATCCCCTTCTGGGCTGAGCCTCGCTAGATCTACAACACAATATCCCCATCATTCACATGTTGATCTAAATCTTTTATTTGAGGATCTAATCCTTCAAACTCTTTATTGCTGTCGCCCGATTCCAGAAAAATGTTGGGTAAATCTATGTCTAAATAGGCTGATGAATCCGACATATTGAAAACTAAACAATATCCCAGAAAATTGCATATAAAAAACTCCAAACTGATCCACGACTGTGAAATGCGCAGCCAGCGGCACTAATAAATGTTGCACTAGTGGACTGTAGTCATCAGCAGTTTAAAAAATGGCTATTCTCATGTCAGCGGTATAGTTTCTACACTCATGTCGGATTACGACCGGTGGTCGCGATGCGTGCGGAAGGGAGGTATGAGTCTGGTCGTGGTGCACACGCAGAGGGTTAACAGGCAGTTTGTATCAATTTGTCTTAACTGAATCATATTTTTCCAGAACAATTGGGGCTAGATTAAAAAACTTTTCTTCATAAATATATATAGCAAACTTGAAATCTCTGTTACATGTAAAATGGTATCGATCACAGCACTTCCCGCTTCTCACACACATTTTGATTACGCATATGGCCTATCTCACAGCTCATCAATGACAATTTTTACTTGCAAAATTTGCTACAAGAATCTTTTTAAAAAGTGAACACATTTTAGGCCCTAAAGGTTCTCAAAACGTGTTCAATAAGTATGATGTTCTAATTAGAAAAATATGACGGACGTGCTAATAAAAGCAATATTGCCCCAGCTGTAAACATTTAAAAATTTGAAAATCTGTAGAAACCACGCCCTTGGATTTTTTATTAGTATTTATTTAGGAATTTTCTAGAATACGGCTTGCAGGTGTTTACAAAAATGTTGACCTGTTATGACAAATTGATACAAGTCATTGTGAAAAAACTGGAGAACCTATGTTCGATAGTTGAGGAGATATTTAACAATAAGTCGCGCCATGAATATTTGACCGCACTATAACTGTAACCATTAAGCAAAACTTTCATCCAATGCTCCTTTTCAAGACCTTTTTAAAGGCTGCCTTGGTTGTTACTGGCTGTCGTGATATAAATGTTTGTGCTATGTACAAAAAAATTCACACCAGTTCTCTGGATAGCTAATAAACATTTAATGTTTGCTGTTATGCTTTTTAAGGGTGTACCGGACATGTAGGTCCTCTGATCAGCAGACAAAGGCAATGTTTCGGCACATTTTAAATCACCATATTCGAATCAGAAGCACATGCTTGCATATTTCATAGGATGCATTTGGTTACCTGCCTTTCCAGGTTTCGGATTTAGAAGACAGTTGAAAAATCTGTAAGAACAACAGAGTTATGCTTATGTTTTTGAAATTGTTGAATGACCATAGCACTGATTCACACTGAATTGAAGGCCCTCTCTGGTCCCCTCACCATTGATATGCTGTGTCATGCTTATGTTGCTCATCAGGACTCTTCTCTTGTTTGCGTTTGCTACGCTTTTTTGGAGGCATTGTATTTTAGCCTAACTGAATTTTAATATTTTTCTCATCCCAGAGAGGGCCAATCGTGCTAGACTGAGGGAGGAAAGAGCAAGGCTGATTGCTGAGGGCTTGGAAATTCCTCCTGAGTTGGCCAATGGACTCCGGCAGGATGAGTAAGCATTTTACGATAGTTGAGGGGCATCTTGACTTCTGATTTGTGAAAGGCTCTATAATATGTTCTTTTTGTCCCCTCTTGTTTGAATACCTTGCATCAGACCTGTTTGTGATCTGGCAATTTTGACTGACTAAAAATTTTCTGCCCCGGGCCCCTTTAGTTAATCCTCACGCTTGTGTCGCTCGGGTGTCACGCGTTGGCGGGCAACTACGCTCCTTCAGATTTTCAGGCAATTTTTCTGAGGGCCACTTACAGGTGTGCTTGCATGTTTTATAGATAAGGTGAACCAAAGAATGGAAAACTATAGCTGGGACTAGGGCAAGTAGAATACACCTTGATTAATCATTACTGTTAGGTATGTTTTAGACTGTGGAACAAGACCTCTTGTCATGTATTTCGGAAGAGATGAGCTAAGTTTTAGTCTATTAAAATATTTGTCATGGAAACCATAGATTTGTAAGAGGAGTGGAGGGGAGCTGAAAATATGATTATTGTAATGTAATGGAGAACTTGGACAGAGTAGAAGCCCTTAATATTTATAAATTTTTTTTTTTTCATATCAGAAATGTTTGCCTCTCCCGATTTATGTCCATGCCATTTGAATGAAGTTGGTTGCTTTAGGCATTCAGGTTTGTGTTGGTCTGCATTTTAATTCCAGTAATGACAGTTTGTTGAAATGTTTTTCATGGTTTTTCTCTATTATCTCTTCTACCAGTAATGACCAGGATGATGGGGATGATGAGATGCAGCACAACCTAGAAAAGGGTAAGAAAACATTTATTTTCATTGTGATGTTTTGTCTCTTTAATAACTGTACATCAAGTTGATAAGTAAGTGGTTATTTTGAGGGTGCCTCTAGTAGGTACTACTTTTTCACTATCCCAGTTTATTTTTTCCTTGGAGATCTGTATTGCTTTTTTCCCTTTAAACATTATATTATCAGTGTGTTCAAATTAAAAACAAAGCAAAAAAAACCCTTTTTGTCTTGTCATACACAAATGTATGCTACAGCTGCCAGTGTTCACTACATCTGCCACATTGGTGTTCGTGCAGTGCTATTCATTAGTTAATTGCTCACTGCTAGTTGTAGACCTGCATGTTTGCCGACAATCGTCTGAAATCCGACAATCGCGACGCGACCCGCGAGGCGGCCGATGCTATCGCTAGGCCCACCTGTATCAGTCAATGTGCGTAGTGCGAGGCCTGGCCGACTGCCAGCGTCCCCCTTTTCTCCCGTCGGCTTTGTCGGCACTTTCGTTTTCGTGCCGACCGCCGACGCGCGCATCGCCGACTGCCGACGTCGGCGTTTCCGACATAATTGTCGGAACCTGAATAGAAATGCGAATACGAAAAAAGACGACGACCTAAATTATCTACTTTCAGTTTCGTGCTCGAGCGGCCATTTTGAATTTCGTTTTGTTGACAAATTCAATTGTTCAGATCGTGTGGATTCATTCCAGTCCGACTCACTTAGATAATAGAATCTAGATCTAGATAGATCTAGATTTATATAGATCATTATAGACCTCAATGGAGAATTCATATTCCAATTCTATTTTGTCAAACCCTATCAGAGGTTGTGCTGTAATATTAATGTTGGTAAAAGGCATTTCATCAGGTGCGTGAATTATTTATTTATTTCGAATCTAGACTCAGCTGAGCCCCTCTGTTCGGAATCGGATGCGGATTTCTAGTTCAAGGCCTATTCCTAGATCCTATTCACTTATTCTTCTAGATCTAGATCTAGATTTATTTAGTTTACTAGATCTATATGGAGGATTCTTATTCCAATTCTATTGTGTTATTTGATATCAAACCCTATTATTGTAGATCTAGCAATATGTAGGTGTAGGCCATTATGCTCCTTGTAAGCCTTGTTTGTTTTGGGGTGTGGTTTTTTAATTTTAAAAATGTTTTTCATTTTGGACTTGTGCTGGCCTTTTCACATGAGGCTCGTTGCAGGTTCTTTTTAGGGGTAGGGGTAGGTCTCTTCTTTGTTGTGTTTGTTGGGGTGGTCGCTCGTTACTCGGAAGTCCTTCCTTATGACACCCACAAAAGCTCTTTTTTGGGGGGGGGGTTGCGCAAAATTTTCAGACAATCTGGTTGAGCCTCACATGCAGGTCTATAGTTGCTTTTACACAGGTTACATAGTTATGTAATCTTTTATGGTTAAAGGAGACATCGAGAATAGGTTATTTGTATTCATTTGTCAATATGTATTTTTGCTTCACAGTGCTTTCATGTAATCGTGGATTTGAAACCTTGGGTGCCGCAAAAGACAAATGCATGGCCAGACTTATGTTTAATTTTTAGTTGAGTATGTCCTCATAATATCTTTTGGTAATGTCTTAAATCTGATTTATTGCATTAGATTGCTGATGAAAGGAAAATGAACCAAGTTGGTTTCATATTTAATGAAAATGTTAAATGAGGTTTATGCTATTTGTTTCAGTGCTGCTGACTGTCAAAAGGAATGAATACTCTTGGCCATTCTTAGAAGCTGTGGAAGAAGTGAATACTCCTGATTTCTTTGAAGTGATCAAGGTAATGGGTTAATTCATTTGTAAGCCTTTATCCTGTTTCTTGTCATTTTTCTGTTTGGTTTTAATTGAGGATTAGAACAGTGTCTAACATGATAGGTTATTTTGAAGATGAGGCTAATTATTGGTACTGTTTTAGTTTATTTTTATTTTTGATTGAGGGGTCATGAAATATCAGACTGATGCACAGGGGTCGCATTATGACATTGACGTTTCGTCGTTGGACACAAATCGCATTGTCACATAGTCAACTCTGCAGCAGGAACCGTATACATTCTTACCTAGACTGCAACTGGCTTCTTTTCAAAAGAATTTTCTTTTTTTTTTCCCTCTCTTTTGAAAAGCATGGCTGTTAATTCTTGTGTATGGTAACAAACTGTGAATGTGGAGAACTTATTGTTCTCCACAGAATGTCTGTAGGCTGTCGATGTTGCTGATTCATTGCTGGAGGACTATCGCATTTTTATCCCATGTGCAATATAGTATTTTGTACTGGTGTGATGCAGCTGATAAGTTGTTCCCTATATAGATCATGTTGTTTTTGTCTGGCTGCAGAAGCAGAGTGTTTTGAGAAACACAAGGAAGTCTGTGATCAAAGAGCTTTGTCAGCACTTGGTCTGATTATTACATATTGACTGCTTTGTGTGTAAGACGTTGCCATACGCCATGTTAGAAAAGTGATGCATGATCCAGTCTTACACTGAGCAGTTGATATGCCATTGTACATTGGACATTTTCAAGAGGCTTTCAGTTTGGCTTTGTGGAAACAAACCAGAGAAGTGTGTGACTGACAAGATAGACACAAATTTCATGATGAGACAAAAATTGTGTTTTAAGGTGGAATGGAAATTAATATTGAATCCATGGTGTACTTCTTTCAGGAGCCAATGGACCTTCTGCAAATTGAAAAGAAATTGGAAGAAAGAGGATACAAGTCCAAGGAGGAGTTTGAGCGTGACATGAATCTTGTCTTTGATAACTGCATCGAATACCATGGGAAAGATAGTGGTGAGACAAATATTGATAGAACATTATTTTCACTCTGAACCATTTTTTTTTTTGTTAAAAGAATATTTCTCTATGTTGGGAGCGGACCTTTTTTGGTTTTGTTCTTGTCTTTTTAAAATTTTTCTAAATTAAGAGGGATTTAAAAAAAACACCTTTTCCTCTTGTTTTTCCACATAGATATTTATGTTGTACCTTTACTAGCATTATTGATTCAAACATATTGTGCCCAAAACTGCATTTTGATTTGTGCTGCTTGAAGCTGAAATTTTGGCTTCTCTCTCTTTATGTATCACTCAGTTCTGTAGATGTGCTGAAGTTTTCAAATGGTAAAATGTATTAATTGACCTCAAACCTCTTTTCATTCCCCATTGCAAACAGTTATTTTTATGCAACGTTTCAGACTTTGGCTACATGGCAGAAAATCTTAAGGGAGTATTTGAGCGCAGCATGCGCCGCACATTCCGTGTTTACCTGGAGCCCACGTCCACCAGAGTGAGCCGTCGCTACGTCAACGCCTACGGCTCTTCCAGCTATATGTATGAATATGACCTGGCGGGCGGATTCGGCCACCGGGCGGCCAGAAAGAGGACCAGCTATCGAGAGGTACTTTTAGCTATGGTGGGGTGCGGAAGACTCGCTTCATGATGGCTGAAAATATCGATTTGTTTTTTCATCCAGTGTGGGATCATGAAGCTGTTAAAAAATGATAATAATGATGATGATATGGTTGCATTTTTATAGCGTTTCTCCATACTTAATAGTAGAGTTTATAATTTTGGATTGCATTTTTATAGCAATGACAATGAAAATTAAATTTTCATCCAACTTGCTTAAAAATGGGCTTAAATGCGAATAGAGTAAATTCTAAGAACTATGGTTTTAAAATTTTAAAAATCCATAGATAAATTTAAAAAGTTATCAGGATTTTTGTTTGCAAAATGTTGGAGGACCTTCATGTAAGAAAATATCGCCAAAATATTGGACATGTCTTGATGTATTTTGAGGAAAAACTGTTCATAAGTCAGTAATGAATTGGAGCATATGAATGAAACTTGGCGTCTTCATGTGATTTTTAGTGCAGAATCTAGTTCTGCTATCACTTTTTCGATGTCTTTATTACTTTGGATCTTAAAGACTGATATTTGCATGAAATTTGTTGAATTGCGTGACATCGTTTTTACCGCAACGCGATCACCCCTTCTAAAACTCAGTAAAGCGCTATCGGGGAAAACCTGCGATGAAGTCATCGGTGACCTATTTAATTATAGGCAGCCAATCACATGCCGTCTAGCGATCACGCGCCTCTTACATGCCGGCACCTCGCGTTTGGAATGCGTGATCTAGTTTCCAGCTCAAGTGTTTTATCAATGGATGGGTGGTAATTTTAAGTTGGTACGTAAAATGCACTAAACGCAGAGATCTGAAATTTTACAGCAATAAAGAAGACATGTGGGGCGCCTGTGTGGTCGGCGATCAACCCGCAGCTCCGCTTAGTTTTCGAATCGCAGAGGAAATTTGCACAAACACGGCAATATCTCGGGTTCTATAGACCTGCATGTTTGCCGACAATCGTCTGAAATCCGACAATCGCGACCCGACCCGCGAACCGGCCGATGCTATCGCTAGGCCCACCTGTATCAGTCTATGTGCGAAGTGCGAGGCCTGGCCGTGTGCCAGCGACCCATTTTCCTCCCATCGGCTTTGTCGGCACTTTTCGTTTTCGTGCCGACCGCCGACGCGCGCTCCGCCGACTGCCGACGTCGGCGTTTCCGACATAATTGTCGGAACCCGAGTAGAAATGCGAATACGAAAAAGGACGATGACCTAAATTGTGTACTTTCAGTTTCGTGCTCGAGCGGCCATTTTGAATTTCGTTTGTTGACAAATTCAATTGTTGAGATCGTGTGGATTCATTCACTCACTTGACTTGTTCTAATAGAATCTAGATCTAGATCTAGATTTATATAGATCATTATAGACCTCAATGGAGGATTCATATTCCAATTCTATTGTGTCAAACCCTATCGTAGTCATAGGTTGTGCTGTAATATTAATGTTGGTAAAAAGCATTTCATCAGGTGCGTGAATTATTTAGAATCTATACCAAAGATAGTACAACATTTGTCTATACCAAAGATATACTATCTTTGTCTATACTCAGCTGAGTCCCTCTTTTCGGAATCGGAAGCGGATTTCTAGTTCAAGGCCTATTCCTATTCACTTGTTCTACAAGATATCGATCTAGATTTATTTAGATTACTAGATGTAGATCTATATATATGGTATGGAGGATTCATACTCCAATTCTATTGTGTTATTGTATCAAACCCTATTATAATAGCAATGTAGATGTAGGCCATTATGCATGCTCTTTGTTTTGGAGTGGGTTTTTTTGGGTTTTTTTCCATTTTGGACTTGTGCTGGCCTTTTTACATGAGGCCCGTGGCAGGTTCTTTTTTGGGGTAGGCCTAGGGTTAGGGTTAGGTCTCTTCTTTATTGTGTTTGTTGGGGTGGTCGCTCGTTACTCGGAAAAGTCATTCCTTATGACACCCACAAAATTTAAGCTCTTATGGGGGGGGGGGGTGCGCGCAAAATTTTCAGACAATCTGGTTGAGGCTCACATGCAGGTCTAGTTCTAGAAGTCATTCGGGATTGTACGCTGGCATGTCATTAGTTTAACCTTTCCTCTGATTGGTTGCCGAGTTTCATTTATTTTCGCCCACGAGTTTTCCCGTAACTGTACTTAGAAGAGAGTCACTTCTGATTCCGAGCGGCCGAAAAATTACCCCTCGCGCGGAGGCCGAATTCCGGCCCAAGGTGCAGCGGGCGATTGGCATTGCTACATTTTATAGCATTTCTCCATACTTGATATTAGTTTATTATTATAGATTCATTTTTGTAGCACTTGTCCATATTTGAAAGTTGGCTACATGCGCTTATTAGAGTAGATTGTATCATTGGTGCTTATATCACTACTTGAAAGTAAGCTCTCTCTCTCTTTATATTATATGTGCTGTCCACTTTACAGTATACTTTTTGCTTAGCTTGTGTCAGTGCTTATGATAGAAAACTTGGGGGGGGGGCTTGATACTATATATAGTAAAATATGGTCATCTGCTGGAGGCTTTCTATGGTTCGGGATTGTAAAGAGTAAGAAGCCTGCTCTGTATCAGGGATTTAGTCAATTTATTTATCGTGTTGCCTGTTTATCTATTTGTTCTTATTGCCATGTGTCTGTCAGTCTACTTTCATCGCTTTATATCTGACAGGTGCCTTAATAAAGGTTCATATCTTTTTAAAGCCCACTTTTCTTTATTGCTTGGTAACAAGGTGACTAAACATGTTTTGTTTCCACTAGGGGATGACATAGAGAGTTTTCTGCCTTGTAATTAATACACTGTTGCAAAGAAGGATGGGATTAGTGAATATATTTATAAACAAAATGTCTGGAGGAGCTGGTCAAGTAATTAACTTGTTACAGTACTACTCCCAATCTCAGCTCAACAACCAAAAGCTTGAAATTTATCTCTCTTTTTTTTTCCTTTTAGGATTCTGATTCAGATTCGGAACAAGAGGGCTATACTCGTGGAAGAATTTTGTACTCTTCAGGGAAAGCATGGAAGTCTGATGAATATGAGGAGGAGAAAAAGTGAGTATAATACAGGAGGTATACTTTATGACTCCAAAATCGACCCATTTCTGTAGATTTCTTCTTTAATATGTGATAAATTTCTGACATCCTGGAGAGGCTCAACTTGCATGAAATTCAGTACTAGTCGGGCATCAAATATAGTGTCTTACCTGTAAGAACAGTTTATTGTTGCACCGAGTTTGATTTAATCTGTGAGGCTTGAGTGGCAGGTAATTCATGCAAGACGCCATGATATATTGTAATATGCAGATTTGTAATGAATCAGAAGAAGAAGTATTTGGCATTACTTCCCCTTTGTTGGGGCTGATCCTGACTGTATGTTACATGAATAATGCAGGGGGTGTACTTATGGACGTCTTTTAAAAAATGCTCTTATTGTAGATAAACATACTCAGTAAGTAGCCTACTCATTGTGGATATGCACAAAGAAGTTCCTGTTATTGTGCTTGTCTATAGTTTTGTGAGGTGGAAGCTCACAGGCCATAACAATAACTCCCTTGGTAGAGTATTTCATTCCAGTTTACCAGTTCAGTCACGATGAGGGAGATGCAACACGGTTTTCTTCATATGTTCATTTTTGCTCACTTATTAATTTCCCTGTTTGCTGGTGGGTGAACTGGTAAATTACAGCAAAGCTACTTATTCATAGGATACCCGATTCAAACAACAGATTTATGATACTGAGTCCCAGGACTTGAGATGGAAGACCTACCAAAGGTTTTTCACTGTCTAGCCCTTCGTATGGGGCTGTATGATACTATGATCTTTTTCTGAACATTTTTGAGAATCTGATTTTTATGTATTTGTGTGTATAAGTGGTCTTTTGTGTGAAGCAAGTCATGTCCTTTATATTTCTGTGTCTTCCCAGGCAGGGGGCTGAGCCTCCAAAGGAGGATAAGGAGGAGGAAGAGGAAGACGATCCAGAATTTCGACCTAGAGCTACTTGGAGCTACCGCCGTGAACTGCTGGGTCTTGATGCTGCAGACTTCGAGTCATTTGTACCTAAATCTAACAAGGAGAAGGTACAGGAGGAGTCTGCAAAAGCCCGCAAACCTGTAGATCTCTCCAAGTTTGCTGGCGCCAGGTTCAGGTACTCGGATCCAATCCATGAGCCCACCAGTCGATCGCTTCCAAAGATCATCGTGAGTGAGTACATCAAGAAACCCAAAGACAAGCAGAAAGCAGGAGCAGGGCAAACAGCGGTCACGACCTCAGCGCCACCAGCCACAGCACAGTCGACAGGAATTGCCCCCAACACGTCTGCTACATTGAAACAAGGCGCATCGCCTGCAGGGGCTACGCCTGGTGGTGCTGCTCCTGCTGCTGCCAAGCCGCCAGTCAAAGTGGTCAAGATCTCCCGAGCAGAGTACGAGAAGCTTCTGGCCCAGAAGAAGATCACGGTGGTGGACGCCAATAGCAAAGCTGGCCAGGTGATCAAGCTGCAGGCAGGACTCCAGCTCAAACAGATGACGTCGCCTCAGCAGCCGCAGCAAGCACCAGGAGGTGCGGCACCCAGCCCTGTAAAACCTGCCTCCAGTATCCCCAGTACAATGGCGTCGCAATCACCAGCAGTGGCCCCTTCAGTGTCTGCAAGTGAGTCTTCTTCTTCTTCAGCGGACAAGCCCTCAAAATCTCCCACTGCAGAATCCTCTAAGTCTCAGGAGACGAGCCGCAAGGGGAGCTCGCAGCTCGACATCAAGGAGCGCTTGAGACAGGTCAATAAGAAAATGGCGAAGAAACTAAAGCCGACCAATGTAGTGTATGAAGACGTAATGTACGAGAATGCCAAAATGATCAACGGGCAGATGGTGTATAATGTAGCGCCAGATAAACACTCCACAACAAGCTCTCTCTTTGGGGACGGGGTTCACCGGAAGCCGAGGAGCGCACAGGCTCCTAGTAAGTATGTCCACCCCAGTGCCCTGCCTCTCATTGAGAAAATGGACAGTTTGGCTCGTAAAAGTAAAAGGACATTATCTGATGATGAGGACAGTGATGGTATGGATGAGAAGCCACCCCCTGTGAAGCGAGTTCGATTCAGTGACGATGTCGTGGACAGTCGAGATGGGAGACTTGGTTCTGAGGGAATTTCTACACCCAGACCCTCAATCTACGACAAGTGGAAACGTAAAGCAAAAAAAACATTGCTGCCCAAATCATTTAGTGAAAGAGATCCCCCTGACGAGTCTTCAAAATCATTTTATGAGAGAGATTCCTCGGACGATTCTGAACCGCAGCCGAAAAGACAAAAACTGTCGACCGTTGTACTTGAAAGTGAACAGGACATGAGGGAGCACCCTTCTCGTAAGCCTGATCCAGAGAGTTTGCATGAGGACAGTGAGCACACGGGTGCTGTGGAAGAAGATTCGGCAAAGGAAGGACCTTCCAAAGACAATAATTCCCAAGAAATGGATGAGGAGGAACGGGGCTCCTCTCCGTCTAATATTCCAAAACCTGATGGGGAATTCAGTGAGAATCACAAACAATGCAAAGACCAAGTGGATTTGAGTGAGTCTCAGTGTGATGAAAATCCTTCCAGTGATGACCGCTGTCACTCCCCGTCTTTTGCAAGTAAGACAGACTTTTACAAATCATTGGAACTGAAGAAAAAAGAACAACCAGCAGCTAGTTCTACGTCTCTTGAAGACCCTAAGTCATCTCATTCACCCCACCAAGGCTCTTTATCACCACATGCAGACTCCAAATCATCTTCAACATCGTCTCAATTGTCTGCTTCATCCTCATTTTCATCTCCTGTGCCATCAACATCTACAGCAAAACTACAGCAGCAGGATCCGTCTCCGACACCCACCACCACAGCAGCAACTGACCAGCCAAAGGCCACTTCTCCATCCCCGCCAAAGACTTTCAAGCTGACAGGCCTCACCTCTCAGCTGGCTCAGGCTATGGCCCAGAAGAAAAAACGAGCAGCTGCACTAGCAGCAGCAGCGGCTGAGGAGGGTACGAACTCACCGCGCACTCTGAGCCCTCCCCTCCTGGAACCCATTGAGCCGGTGAGCAGCGGAAGCGTGCCAGGGGGTCACTCACAGAGTGAAGATGAGGAGGAAGAGGGGGAGATGCCGGTTCTGGTGCCCGACCACATGCCCCCAACATTGGTGGAGCCGGGCTCGGATAACATCTTCCAGCGCATGATGAGCCCAGAAACGAGTCGGACGTAATGTGTAAAGCTTGACAATTCTAGAAATTCTTTCTGAGCTGCTTCTGGTCCTTAAGATGCCAGCGTGGAGAACTTTGTGTCGTATGACGTTATCTTCTAATGTGTTATTATGAGTTTGGAGAGGAGTAAGGCATGGAGTAATTCTGGAAATTTCTTCTTAGTTGTGACCGGTTCTTGTTTTGCCAACTTGTGAAAAACTCCAGCTGTGTGGCAGTATATTCCAATGCCTTTGGAGCAGGGTCAGTTCAGAGCTCATCACTTTGAGCTAACAGAAAATCCTTTTGGGGCGGTGGCCGTCACTTGCCAAGCTCACAAAGTTGTCGTTTGATAACATTTTCCAGGATATAGTGTACATTGAAGCTGCTCAGGAGAGGGAGCCTATGGATCTGATTAGACCTTGAAGGAACTTTTCATTTTAATGCTATTGAGTGAATCAGAAAGTTCTCTGGTAAGCTTTTATACTTTAAGTCTGTAGAGCTTGCTAGGAGTAATTTGTGAAGATGGCTACTGGCACCAGTGGTGCAGCGCTTGGGCGCTTCACTGTCGCCTGCAGAAGATCTGTGGGGAGGTTTTTTTATCATGCGTCTCCGTCTTTCTGCTATGGTATTGTGTCCCTCTCAACCCAGATTAGCTGTGGCAGGCGTGGTTGAAGCAGCCTGCTTTCTAAATTATTGTTTAGATGCTTACTTTTTTTGTGACAGTTTTATGTGATAACTAATTACAAGTGTATAGAGGATAGTCTTATTTTTCAGAGCCTCCTAGACCATGGTAACATGCATTTGGTGGTGCTGTTTTTGTGTCCCTGTGACAAAGCTGTTGACAAGGGAAAAATGTTTTGGTCATTTCTCTTTGGGTTTCTTTGATGAAAGTGAAATTTAAAGGGATAGTTATCTTGTTTTATTTTGATCTACTGTCCTTGTGTGAAGCTCTTGGGGTCTGCAGGGATGTTTATTGTAACGTTCTTTCTTGTTTTACGAGACAACAGTTTTTAAAATTTTTTGTGTGTGGTCGGCAGATACAAAGAAAATTTGTAAAGGCTATCAGTTCTGTTTCCTCTGTCAAAACAATTACAGTGAATGATACCAAGTGGAGTGTTTGTGTTTGTTTTTTTAGCTACTGCCTTTATGTCTAGGAGAATGAGACCTGGATAGGGATGAAGGTGGAAATTATGAATTTGTTTAAAGTTGCAGGTCTCGAATGTTACAGGTTTTGATTTCGTACCTGAAGAACACCTGTATTCAAGTTTTAAATATGAAATTGTAAGGCAAGTAAATTGTATTTGTTTTAGTGTAGAAATGGACTAGAAAATCAAATATAATTTGGAAAAAAAAATGAGGAAAACGAATGTTTTATGTAATTTGCTTTCCATTTAAATTTCCAACAACTAGGGGGGAGGGGAGGTGTTTTTCTCGGCATTATTCCCAGAGGCTGTGATACACAATGTACACCTGTAACAGATTTTGAGGTACGATAGAAAGACCACACAGATGATGTGGATGTTCCAGTATATCTGACTATTGACTTTAGAATTTGTTCTGGTCACCGCTAAAGAAATGTGTTTTTTTATTATGTTCTCAGCATAAATGTTAGTGCATTTTCGGCAAGTTCTTCACTGTGAACTTGACTGGCCACTGGTAACAGTTTGATGTAACATTTTAAGGATCTGAAAAGGAGAAAGGTCTTGATTTTCATGAACATTTTTTCTTAACGTGAAGACCAACATTGTACTGTAACCTTCCCCAGTCCAACTTTTGTTTAAAGAGAAAGAGTGAAAATGTTTGCCTTTTGTTTTCATTGTTTTGTTACAGCTAATTTTTATTAAGAAATTTTTCGGCATTTGTGAAGACATTAATTGCAAGAACTTGGCATTGACTGCGCCGTTGTTTAAGATTCAGATGGTGCAATACTGTGGCAGATCAGATCTGGTTTCATTTGACCTGTGCAATAAGTTTTGAGTAATTCTATTAATATATTTTTTAAAAGGGCAGGTTTGATGGAAAAGGTCTTCTTGCAACGACTCAACATTTTTTACTATTATAGGCCTTACGAGAAAAGCTTACACACACTTTAGAGTGGTTGATGGGTAATGTGGTATTGTATGCCCCTCTACTTTGTGTCTGTGTAGTTCTATTCTCCCTCGCTGTTCTTGGAAAAGTGTTGTGAATATCATGTTGGCTGGCTGTAAAGCACAGCTCCGTGACGGCAGCTCTTTTCAAGCTGTTTCTCCTCTGTGTGTTTGTATCAGTCTTCCTTGTAACACTTGCGGCTGTTGTTCAGGTAGCCCACTAGTTCTCATATTTTTATCCAAGTGTGGGATTCCTGGTAGTAGTCTCACTTCTTCCTGAGTATTTGTTGACACTGAAAAATATATTTCAGTATCCACAACTCAACAAGCAAGTGCTGTTTGCACTGACAACGTACTGGGAATGAGAAGACTGTTCTATGAGGTCACCAAACCTAATAGTAATAGTGGGGATAGTGGTTAAAACATTGTAGTCATCTCAGGCTATAAAATCTCTCTCTGTCCCTTCCCAGTTGTGTTTGGTTGCCCCTATGTTGGGCCAATCCCTCTGTATTCACCTCTCGTACAAATGGAGTCTGCTGAATAAGAAATGTGCTGGACTGCCAGGTTTTCTACGGTATTGCCAGGCTTCAGGCTATGAGAGGTTTCTCAAAAAAATGGGGGATTTTCATTTCCTTGGGTTTTCCGTTGTTTTCAGTAAATTGTGTCAGACTCCACTGCAGTTTTCCTTTTTTTACCCCTCCAGTTTGAATAATGCACCTGTGCTTAGCAAACATTTTGTGAAATAGAAACGAAATAGGACAGCTGTGTTTTGGACACACTAAGTTCAAATACGCAGCAGCAATATTCGACTTGTTCGAACTTTCAGTACACCAAGTTACAAACTGTTTCTCGAGTTGAGGCCTGATGTATCATGGTGGTATATGATGGCTCAGCTTTTTGCCACTTCTGACTCACAAATGTGCTATGAGAGCTTGTTAATGAAAGAACTGCGGTGTGTGAGTGTCTGACTCGGAACAGACATTACAATTGTTTTATCTTTTATGTTTTGGTTGAAAATCTGAATTGTTAACAAGAGCAATCTTGTGTCATGCACATTTATGGTCTCTTTAGAAGTGACAAATGTATTATTGTATATATACAAGGGTTGAGAACATCCTGCACTGTAAAGCTCAAACGTATTACATGGGTTTTTTTGGCATACCGTACATGAAAGAAGTACCATTGTCATTTGCATTATATTGTCCATATTTAAAGAAAATCTTTTTGTACAGTACTTTACATTTTGAATGCGAAAGGCATTCACAATTAAGGATATGTTTCCCTTTTTTCTGTAAATTGAATGCTGTTATTTTTACTTTACTTAATTAAGTATTTGGATATAAGGAGGACAAGGATTTGTATGTGTTGGGTGCTAGTGTTACTTTTGTACATTTTGTTGTATCACTTTGAAAGGATATGTATGTATATATTATATACATATATATATGTATGCGTAGGATGCTTTAGAAATTTTTTCTTCATTGTAGTCTACCATGTGACCCCTTAGTGGTTTGTGGCTGGGTTTCCATCCAGGGGGGGAGACTGAATAATGTTTTAGGACTTGACCATAGACATTTCATGTCAGTTCCTTTGTGTGCTCCAGTGGGTTCAAGTGTGGAGTGAAAGTTTGTATAAAAGACTATACAGTAAGATTTTCAGTTATTTCTTTATTATCTCTGTACACCTTAATAGAAGATTTTAATTTTACAGTTGTTTGGAGAGCCTTCATGTTCATGCTTTGCAGTTGGATCAGTTGCGTGAGAGAAAATTTTTGACCTCAAGTAAACCAATAGCTCAGTTGGCTTCATGCTGGACTGCAGTGCAGGCACCCCTGGTTCAAATCTTTAGCGGAGAGTGTATTTCTGTTAGGGCTGTTGGTGGAATTTTCATGGCTGTTCCCCCCACCTCGTGTCTAGTCTTGTCAAAGATATGTTTGAGGTGCCTCTTGTGGAATACTTTTGTGTTTTGAAAAGACAAGGGTGTTTTAGTTTTTACAGTAACCCGAATCTGACTAAACCTGTTACTGACTGTTGTACCACTGTCTGCTGGTTGAGCTCTGCGTTCAGACGTCTGTGCTGTAGCGAACTTCGTCAGCCGCTTTTCTGTTGCATGTAGGGGACGCGAATTCGATTCCTGTTAGGAAAAAAATGTTTTATGGGGCATCTAGAATTTTCTTTTGGGATGTTGTTGCCCCCTCAGCCCAGGTAGGCCCTTACAGGCAGGATGAAGTTGGCCTCCTAAAATAGTCTAAATTGTGTCGATGAGGGGGCGTAAAAATATGTATATAAGAAAAGAAAAGCTTTGTGAGCGTCTGCTCTTGGATAAGGATGAGACCTGCTGCTATTTTTAGTCTGTTTTTGTTCTTGTCTTTGGTTGCGAGTGTTTGCAAACATTGACTTGATACTTCTACACAGACCCTCTGACAACTCTCTCTAACTCTATCACTGCATTCAGAAGGCTGAGGCGTGTGTCGTGTAATGGTAATTTTTTTATTTGAGCGACGCTCATCTTCGCGAGTCAAAGCCCTTTAAAAAAATCGATAATATGTGTGTCGTGTGTACTCTCTGCTTGTTAGGTCACTTGTTTTATTGAAAGTCTTGGAAATTGTTTTGTTTTATTTCTGGCTCTGGGTTTTTGCTGCCAGTTGGATGTGGGTTTGGAACAAATAGACTATTTTTCTTGTTTTTCTATGTATGTTATGGTGCATATGTGTAGGTTTTCATATGTATGTGTGTATACCATTGAATTTAAGCACCATAAAAGGCTTCTTTGTCTTGTGCAGGCGTGTCTAATGAGAGAATTCATCCCTGTCAGACAATTTTTGACCTACAGCCCTTTAAAAGTAAAAGGGGTCGATTTTGCTGAAAATAAAACCGAAATGTCATCCCAAAAAGGGTAAATTTGAATGCAGCTGTTGTTTTTTTGCTTTTTTTTCCCCCCTTTCTTGTTGTCAGTGAATTAGTAGAAACCTTCCTTTAAAAAATTTTTTACTTCAGTATTTGTCTGTCTGGGTCAGAGCCACAGAATGTTATCTCTTCACATTTTGGGTTCTTTCTGCTATTCTTTTCCACATTTTGTTTTGTTGTAGACTTGAATTTTGACAGACACTTTCTACCTTCCCCTTACTCGTATGTGGTATTTAATATGATTTTGAATGCCGGTAGTAGAGTCTTTCTATGGCAACCAGAGGAGCTTGTAGGAATTTGCATCAAGTCTTGAAGTTAAACAAGTTGTCGTTTATGTATAGCTACACGTTCCATGTGGGTGGGTTGTTGGAGGGTGCTACTGATAAGTCCTACATCTTTTCTTTTTCTCTTTCTGTCCGACTGTCCGTCTGTCTTACTTTTTCCTTACACTAAGTTACCCTCAATGACTGTGACTGTGAAGAATATTTGCTACTACATGATGTATTACAACGTGCAACTTGGTGTGATCCAATTACTCAAGGCCGACAAGCGGAAAAAAATGCGTTTTAAATTTTGCCCGATTAGCTCCCTTCTCACATTCCCACAACAGCGTCGTCTTGGTCCCTTGGTTCAGGTCTCTCTCCACGACTGCCCGTCTATTTTATCTCAGAATCTCAGTGTTTTTCTGTGAATACGTGCACGTATATCATCATCATTATCCTCATGACCAGTGTGAGAGTGAGTTCTAGTGGGTGGTTGGCAGGTACTTTGGTGTGGTTTCCTCCTCCTGTCCTTTCAAACATTAATCGTCCTTATCTTTTCTCCTTTTTTTTTTGTTTGTTAGTCGCTAGTAACAAATCTAATCTTCGGTAATTGTATGACCTAATTGTGTTGCAGGTGCTGTAAAACAAGGATTGCTTACTGAAAAAAATATTGAGTTCACTTGAGTTTTGCACTTCTCTTAGGCGGCTCTCGTGGTCTAGAGGATTACCACGTTCCCCTTTCATTCAGAAGGTCCTGGGTTTGAAACCTGATAGCGACGGAACATTTTCTTCTCTAAAATTTTATCCTTTCACCTACTTTCCTGTTCTTTAACCATATTCTATCTTCTGCTTTTGTCTCTACTTTCTGCTCCCCCCCCCCTCCCCGTTGTCTCCAACTCTGGGCTACTGACCTTTTCTGCAGCCTTTCTACTGCTACTCCTTAGCTCCTTCTTAACCTCTTAACTGCTGTGTGGACATATGTGTTCCCTTGTGTTCCTCAAAACATGTTCCGTGCTATTTTCTTAAATTGGCCTCTAGAGGAAGGTTCAAAAGATGTAACTATCACTTGTGCAGTTGCTTATTCTATAATAAGGTGGCAGGTACTATGGATTTAGTCGAATCTCTCTTGGATAAACATTTTACTGCACCGGTACAAACGAAGATACACGTCTCAGCAATAAAGGGGTTAAAGTTGTCTTTCAGTCACACCCCAGATCATAGGGTAGGTAAGATCTTACAAAAAATGGGAGGTCCCGTGTGCAAGTTGCGTACGTTAAACATCCCTTGGTGACCCAAAGTCGATAAGAGTAGGCTTCGGCCGCCACCTGGGCAAAAAGTCAAAATCAATTCCTACCAAACTGAAAACCCAAGACAATGTCTCATCTCAAATGGAAAGTAGTGGAGACCTTCACAAACTGGCCGGTCAAAGTAGAGTCGAAATTGTCAAAGACGGCAACCCGTTATCGAGGAGAAAAGGAGTTACCTTGGACAATGTCATCTTAAGATTTAAAAACGTAAGAGGGCTATAGAGTGTATAGGTAGTCAAAGATCTTGTCAGTTTGTAAGTGTTTGGGCGCGTGAAATCCGCAGCTTGCATTGTATGCTTCCTGGGAAGCTGAGAATATTCCTGCGTGTTCTCGGAAGCGCGTAGAGCATGAGTATGCGCTACCGGTAATTATGTTTTTGGTTTTTTTTAGAGGGAGAGGGGGGATATTGGTAAGTGTTTCACGGCTTTTGCGACTGTATAAGGTCATAGGAGCTCGCGGGACATATTGAATGTGATCAGTGTTTTTCGGTTGGTAGGAAATTTTGAATTTTGCCCGGGTGGCGGCCGAAGCCTACTCTTATCGATTTTTAACCACCAAGGGATCTTTGACGTGCGCAACTTGCTAGCGGGACCGCCGAGATTTTTGGCCCTTATCCGAGAAGGCTAGGTAGATCGTACCTATCATAAGGTCAGGGGTGTGGCTGAAAGACAGCAGTAAGAAGGAGCAAAGTAAGGAGTAGCTATAGAAAGGCTGCAGAAAGAGTCAGGAGTCCAGAGGAGGGGGCATAGGAAATGAGGTGGTGGGGGCAGAAAGTGACGACGAAAGCAGACGACAGAACATTGTTTGAAAGCAGGAAATGATTTGAAAGGAGAAAATGTTAGAAAAGAAAATTTTCCAGCGTTTTCTGGGTTCGAACCCGGGACCTGTTAAATGAGAGGCAACCACTTTAACCTCTACTGTAGACCACGAGAACCTCGTATGCGCTATATAAATGCTATTATTATTATTCATGGCAGGGGTGAAGGCTGACTTGTTTGACAGGGTAATCAAAGTGAAACGGGATCAGATATGGCCTGTAGATATCACACAAGAATCTTACTCGAGGCGGCGACTCTCAGTTGCGAATGAAAACAAATCCGGAATTCATATTGTATGTTCAACCGCCAAAATAATCGGGAAAGTATCTTATTAAATATCAGTTCCAACTTAAATTAAATTTAACTTTAGATGTGAATACATAAACACAAAGCAAAGAAGCAGAGATGTCAGTACTAGATCTATATGTTATAGATCTACCAGTGAGTCTGACTCTTTGGTAGAACATGACAATTATAATTTTTATAATTTCACATTTGGCTGTTTTTGTTAGCCTTTCGCGGCCAGGAGCTGGTGTCATAATCGAGGTCACGATCTGATTATAGGACGGTAAAAAGTCGAGGAAAAAAACCAAGCACATGCAGCAGTCAAGAGATTATTAGAAGTTAGTTCCCCTCACATTTGTGAGGTAGACTCGACCAGTGTTAGTTAGCTTACATAATCAGGGCTTGTGATTGATTATAACTGTGGCCCCAAAGGGGTGAACAGGGTATATGTGGCAATGAAACAGCTTTGACTGCTATCCACATGTTCCCTTCAACTCTATTGGTAGACTCTTCCAGCCTCACTTTAAGCTTACTTAATCAAAGCTTGCGACTGCTTATGGAGTGGCCCGAGAGGGGTGAGGAGGCTATTTCTGTGACCGTGAAACCGTTTTGAATGTTAGGCATACTGTTCATTGTTGATTACGAACGTCTTTTTACTTTTAATTTAAGAGATTTACGTTTATGGATGAATTTGACAGCGACAATGTTTCAAAATTAGGAAGGGAAGCAGTGATTATTTGATTATATAGACGCTTCGCCTCTGATTCATGGGGGCATGGAAATTGTTTCTTTGTACAGGTAACTGTCTTGGACGGGTGGCCATTAGAGCAAGTTCGACTGTATAATCTATCATGCAGATTATAGCACAGATCTGGACTCTGGATGTCGATTGTACCGACGTCTGTGGTGTAGCGGTTAGGCGCTTAGCTGTCGCACGCAGGAGACCGGAGTTCGTTTCTGCAGCAGTGAGGAGAAGTGTTATTTTTATCGAGTACATACATTGTATCTCGGTCCTTCTGCCTGCTGGGACCACCCTCTCAGCTGGAGGGGGGGGGGGGGTCCCTGACTGACAGGCAGGGTGCCTCCTTAATTGGGGGGGGGGGGGAGGAGGTCCCTGACAGGCAGGGTGCCTCCTTAATTATCTAAATTATGTACACGTGGGCGGGAAAACAATTTCATCCCAAAGTGGGGACATTTCTCGTTCAAGCACAGTAGAATTGTAAATGGGCTGATTCATCATGTCACGCTCATAACTGTGCCTGATCTGCAACAGGGAACTGCTGCTTTTACTTTCCTAATCCTTACTATTGTCATTTTCCTCTATTTCTTTTTTATGTGTGACCCGCTATTTCCGGGGTGCCTTGATAGTGATAGTCGAAGCAGACCTTGGGCTGTTGAAGCTAGAGAGATGAGCTGAGTAAGTCTGATTCCCTGTAAGGACTTCTCTGTTCACACCCACCCTTTGGCGCTCATATGACCTTATGCAGTTGCGAGCGCATGTTCTTGCTTTGTCAATGAAGAGGACACCATCTTCTCACCTGTTTCTGGTGTTTACACCAACAAAAAAAAGGGCGGGGGGGGGGGGGGGGGGGGAAACAAACAAACACCCTCCCCCCAAAGAGAGAAAAACAACAATAACCACAATAACAACAAAATCATAATAATAATAATAATAATAATACAAATGGCACAGCCACATATTAATGGCAATTGCAATGATATCAGTTTTACAAGCTTGCAGACTCATAACTTAATTCCTGTTTCAACAATTGGCTTGTTAGTTTTGTTTGTTTCAGTAAGCGTTTTATGGCCCTTGCAACACAATTAGGTCACATCGTGCCAAAAATTAAAGGTGAACTTACAAGAGAGTAACAAACAAAACAAAAACAAAACAATGAAACAACAAAACAAAACAAAACTAAAAAAAAAAAAGAAGGACGAGAGATTAGGACGATAGAAGATGTTTTTGTTCGAATTCCCGTTTTATAGATGTTGCTACCAGCGATATACGCCATTTTGAAAAGGAACATATTATGATGACGAAGTCTTACACTGAGCTCTCTCTTTTTCTCTCTCTCTCTCTTGCACTCTTTCTCTCTCTCTCTCTCTCTCTCTCTCTCTCTCTCTCTCTCTCTCTCTCTCTCTCTCTCCCCCCTCTCTCTCTCTCTCTCTCTCTCTCTCTCTCTCTCTCTCTATATATATATATATATATATATATATTATAGATATAGATATATAGATATAGATAGATATATATAAACGTTTTATTTCCTCAATGTTCTGAGACATTCTTCGCTCTCTTTCGTTTTGGGGTAATTTATAAAAAA